ACACCCTTCTGTAAGATAAGTTCACGGCCACGAAGGAAATCCACACCAGCAAGACGCTGCACCGGGAAGAGGGCTGCTCCAGGCAGAGCTCAGCACCAAGAGACTTTGTACTTTTGTTTTGTTTTTAAGACGGAGTTTCGCTCTTGTTACCCAGGCTGGAGTGCAATGGCGCCATCTCGGCTCACCGCAACCTCCGCCTCCTGGGTTCAGGCAATTCTCCTGCCTCAGCCTCCCGAGTAGCTGGGATTACAGGCACGCGCCACCACGCCCAGCTGATTTTTTGTATTTTTAGTAGAGACGGGGTTTCACCATGTTGACCAGGATGGTCTCGATCTCTTGACCTTGTGATCCACCTGCCTCAGCCTCCCAAAGTGCTGGGATTACAGGCGTGAGCCACCGCACCCAGCCTTTTTTTTTTTTTTGAGATGGAGTCTTGCTCTGTCGCCAGGCTGTAGTCCAGTGGCGTGATCTCGGCTCACTGCAATCTCCGCCTCCCGGGTTCAAACCATTCTCCTGCCTCAGCCTCCTGAGTAGCTGGGATCATGGGCATCTACCACCACACCCAGCTAATTTTTGTATTTTTAGTAGAGACGGTTTCACCACATTGGACGGGATGGTCTCGATCCCCTGACCTCATGGTTCGCCTGTGTCAGCCTCCCAAAGTGCTGGGATTACAGGCGTGAGGCACCGTGCCTGGCCAACTTTGCTTTCTTTTAATCCTTTATTTATTTATTTATTTTCTTATATATATTTTTTTGAGATGGAGTCTCACTCTGTTGCCCAGGTTGGAGTGCAGATGCAGAATCTCGGCTCACCACGACCTCCGCCTCCCGGGTTCAAGTGATTCTCGTGCTTCAGCGTCCCGAGTAGCTGGAACTAACGTGCCACCAACCCAGATAATTTTTTTTTTTAGTAGAGACAGGGTTTCGCCATGGTGGTCAGGGTGGTCTCCAACTCCTGGGCTCAAATGATCTAACCTCAGCCTCCCAAAGTGCTGGAAGTACAGGCGTGAGCCACCACACCCGGCCTTTCTATCGTTTTTCTAAAAAAAAAAAAGGACTTGCGTCTCGACCGGGGCGCTGGGAACAGGGGTGTGCCCGGTTTGTCAGGAGTCATCAGGCTGTTCACTTGTGACCCGGGAACCTTCCCCCAGTAGCCCATGACACCATAAAAGGTTAAACATTAGGCCGCGCGCCGCAGCTCACGCCTGTAATCCTTTAGGAGGCTCAGGCGGGAGGATTGCTGGAGCCCAGGAGTCTCTAAAAAAATAAAACAATGAAAAAGTTAAAGATTAAAAAAACACACCTGCCCCTCCCAAAAACTTGTCACTCCAGTCCGGTCCAGTCGTGAGGAAAACATGACAAAGTCTGCCAGGGGCGGTCGCTCCCGCCTGTAATCCCAGCACTTTGGGAGGCTGAGGTGGGTGGATGGCCTGAGGCCAGAATTCACGACCAGCCTGGCCAGCGTGGTGAAACCCAGCGTCTACTAAAAACACAAAAAATAAGCCAGGCGTGGTGGTGCACATCTGTAACCCCACCGACTAGGGAGGCTGAGGCAGGAGAACTGCTTGAATCCTGGAGGCACACAGATGGCAGTGATCCAAAGATTTGCTGTTGCACTCCAGCCTGGGCCAGTGAGACTATCTCAAAATAAAAAACCCAACTGAGGGACCTTCTACATAAATCCTGACCAGGAGCCAAGGAGAGGCTTCCACTCAATGCCGGGAGTGGTCTTGGGTGGGGCCCTGAGCAGGAAGAGACGCTAGGGGAAACTGAGGAAATCTGAGCCGAGCAGAGGCCTTAGTGGCTAACGATCACGTATCCACGTGGGTTCATCAGCCGTGACGCCCTATGACTGGAGAGGGAGACCGGGGTGGGGTGGGGACGCGGGGACGGGGGAGGTGGGGGGGACGTGTGGATGCTGGGACTCTGTACCACCCCCACGCATCTCCTGCAGACCTAAAATCGTTCTAAAAATTAAGTCCATTAAAACATTAACCTCGGGAGGCTGAGACAGGAGAATTGCTTGAACAGGGAGGCGGAGGTTGAACACTCCGGCCTGGCGCCTGGCGACACAGTGAGACTGTCTCAAAAAAAGAGAGAGAGAAAAAAAAACATTAATTGGAGCCGGCCGCAGTGTCTCACGCCTGTAATCCTAGCACTTTGGGAGACCAAGGTGGGAGGATCACGAGGTGAGGGGTTCAAGACCAGCCTGGTCAACATGGTGAAACTCCGTCTCTACTTAAAAATACAAAAATTAGCCGGGCGTGGTGGCGCCTGCCTGTAATCCCAGCTACTCGGGAGGCTGAGGCAGGAGAATTGCTTGAACCCGGGAGGCGGAGGTTGCGGTGAGCCGAGATTGCGCCATTGCACTCCAGCCTGGGCAACAGAGCCAGACTCTGTCTCAAAGAAAAAAAAAGGCTTTTGCACGACCAAAGGAAACAAAAGCAAGAGCAGGCACTGGCTGTGTGAGCTGCAAACTCCTCTGTGGGCATTTGGGTTACAGGAGCGGGCAGAGGGGAGAGGCGTCCACTGGGTCCCCTGAGATGGAAAAGCGAGGCCTGGCTGCAGCCCGCACACTCTACCTCCGGAGGCCACACTGCATTTGCACAAAGGACGCAAAAAGTCAAGGTTCACCACCAGGAAAGGCTTCCGGGGACTCTCCTGGGCGCCATGCACCACAGCCCTCGCCAGGGGTTCCAGGGGCACACGAGTCTGCACTGCACGTGTCACCGCATGGCACGGGCATCCGGCTACATCTGCCCTCCATCCAAAGTGCAAGAGAGGATGTGGGGAGGGAGGGGAAGAGGGAAGGGGGTAAAGCAGGGATGAGGGAGGGAGGGAGGGAAGGAAGGCAAGGTGCAGGGGCTCACGCCTGTAATCCTAGCACTTTGGGAGGCCGAGGCGGGCGGATCACAAGGTCAACAGATCGAGACCATCCTGGCCAACATGGTGAAACCCCGTCTCTATGAAAAATACAGAAATTAGCCGGGGGTGATGGTGTGCAGCTGGGTCGGGAGAATCGCTTGAACCTGGGCGGTGAAGGTTGCAGGGAGCTGAGATCGCACCACTGCACTCCAGCCTGGCGACAGAGCGAGCCTCTGTCTCAAGAAAGAGAGGAGAGAAGCGAAGCTGAAACAGCCCTGCCCCGGCCGGCCTGGCCACAGCCAAGTGCAGGGGGAGTCGTCCTCGGCCCTCACCGGCTTCCCACGTGGGAGGGACCCTGGAAGGGGTAAACTCTCCTCCAGCCAGTCCCCCGCTGCGCGGTCAGAGCCTGGGTGGTGGCCAGGCCACAGGTGTGAGGGGCGTTCGGAATTGTTCCCAGTGAAATAAAATCTTCTGCAGGAACAGGGTGGCGGTGGGACAGTCACTGCAGACGCCGAGATTCCACTCCCGGGGTCTAATCCGGAGGGAGGTCCAGACTGAAACGCACACAGGCGGCTCCCAGCCGAGCTTCACACGGACGGACGCAGATGAAGCCGCCCAGATGCGCACCCACCCAAGCGCCCACAGACGCAGCGAGGCCTCCAGGAGCCAGAGCGGGGCTCGGACCCAGGCCACCACGAGGGTGCAGCTTGAGCACGCCATGCTCCGTGGGAGACGCCGGACACAGAAGGCCACGCAGCGGAATCCCAGTTCTTGAGATCCCATGTCTTCAGAGGTTGCCCACTATAACCTCCGCCTCCCGGATTTAAGTGATTCTCCTGCCTGTAGCTGGGATTACAGGCACCTGCCACCACGCCCGGCTAATTTTGTATTTTGTATTTCTCTATGAAATGTCGGACAGGCCCATCCAGATACAGGAAGGGGATGTGTGGGTGCCAGGGCTGCGGAGGGGATGGGGAGTGACGGCTGAGGGGGACGAACCTCCTTTTCGGGTGATGGGATGACAGTGAGGAGGGGCTTCCTTTCAGGGTGTTGGGATGACAGTGGGGATGGGGCCTCTTTTTGGGGTGCCGGGATAATGGGGATGGGGCTTCCTTTTGGGGTGCCGGGATGACACTGGGGACAGGGCTTCCTTTTGGTGTCCTGGGATGACAGTGGCGATGGGGCCCCTTTTCGGGGTGCTGCGATGATGGGGGACAGGGCTTCCTTTTGGGGTGCCGGGATGACAGTGGCGATGGGGCCCCTTTTCGGGGTGCTGCGATGATGGGGGACAGGGCTTCCTTTTGGGGTGCCGGGATGACAGTGGGGATGGGGCCTCTTCGGGGTTCTGTGTTAACAGTGGGGACAGAGCTTCCTTTTGGGGTGCCAGGATGACAGTGGGGATGGGGCCTCTATTTGGGGTGCCAGGATGATAGTGGGGACACGGCTTCCTTTTGGGGTCCTGGGATGACAGTGGGGATGGGGCCTCTTCGGGGTTCTGTGTTGACAGTGGGGATGGGGATTCCTTTTGGGGTGCCGGGATGACAGTGGGGATGGGGTTTCTTTTCGGGGTGCTGGGATTACATGTCATGGCCCCTCTCTGTGAATAAGCCACAGTCCCCTGAACCGCACTTTACGTGCTAACTTGTTTGCTGTGTGAGTGACAGGCTGACTTGATAAAGCTAGAACAGAAGATCCCCAGACACTGTTCAGCACCCAGCCCCAGGAGCCCCTGGGGAGGCCCGCCCCACGCACCTCTGCTGCCCCGCTGCCCCGTCCTGGCCGATGCCGCCCCCTCCTGGGAGAAGCCTTGTGAGCCACAGTCTCCCTTTTTTTTTTTTTTGAGATGGAGTCTCTCTCTGTCGCCCAGGCTGGAGTGCAATGGCGCGATCTCCGCTCACTGCAACCTCTGCCTCCCGGGTTCAAGCGATTCTCCTGCTGGCTGGAATTACAGGCGCAAACCACCATGCCTGGCTAATTTTTTAAAAAAAATCCTTTTATATGTAGGAACACAAGGAAAACCTGGCTAATTTTTTTTTTTTTTTTTTTTTTTTTTTTTTAAAGACGGGATTTCACCATATTGGTCAGGCTGGTCTTGAACTCCTGACCTCAGGTGATCTGCCCGCCTCAGCCTCCCAAAATGCTAGGATTACAGGTGTGAGCCACCGCACCTGGCTCATGAACCTGGCTAATTTTTGTATTTTTAGTAGAGACGGGGTTTCACCGTGTTGGCCAGGATGGTCGTGAACTCCTGACCTCAGGTGAACCACCTGCCTCGGCCTCCAAAGTGCTGGGATTACGGGCGTGAGCCACCGCCCCCAGCCACGACATCCGTTTTTAAAGCAGGGAAACAAGTCTGTCAGAGGCCACACAGGCAGCGTGGGCAGAGGTGAGCCGGACCCAGGCAGGCTCTGAGCGTTGCTTCATTACGATTTATTGGTCCTCTCCCTGCCCCTCCCACCCATTCCCCCCAATTCTGTTGCACCCTGGAGGGGTAGGGTCCTCTGGAGAGAGTGAGGGGGGTCCCCATCACCCCAGGGCATCAGCCGGGTGACCCTTCTGATCCAGGGCATGTAAGGTGCCACAGTGGTGGCCACTGGGGGCTTGAAGGTGTTGGCGCAGATCCTGGAGCTGAAGGACAGGACCCCGGCCACCACCCGGCGTTTGCCACACACCAGGGGCCCACCTGAGTCACCCTGTAGGGGTGCCAAGAGCCTCAGGTTAGCCTCTGAGCCCACCCAGGGAAGCTGGCGAGCCCATTATCCCAGGCTCAGGAGACACAGGAGCTGCTCCCAGATACACGCATCCCGCCCCCTCCCTCTGACCCTGTGAACTCTGCTCCTTCCTCCCCCCCATCGTCTTTGCTGGACTGAACTCTTCTCCTTCCTCCATAGCTGTGCTGCGTCCCGATGGTGTGGCCTGGGGCAAGTTTCAAAACGTCCCTGAGCCTCAGTTTCTGTGCCTGGGAAACGGCACCCATGCCAGTGCCTCCCCGCCCTGCCCACAGGGGCCAAGACTCCCCAGGCCTGCTCCCCCAGCCCCACAGGACTCCCCTGAGAATGGGAAGAGCCAGGGCCTGGCCCTCTCCCGAGGCCTGCTCCCCCAACTCCATAGGACTCCCTAGAGGATGGGAAGAGCCAGGGGTCGGCCCTCCCCACATTCTGTCCCCCAGCCCTGCAGGACTCCCCAGAGAACGGAAGAGCCAGGGCCCGGCCCTCCCCCAGGCCTGCTCCCCGAGCCCCAGCCAGGCGCCATCACCTTGCAGGGAGCTTGATTCTTGGAGGCAGCTGCCAGGCAGACCATGTTGGGGAAGAGGCTTCCATTCCAGAAGCGGCTATTGTTGCACATGCGTGTGTCCAGCACGTGGACACCCAGCTCCTGCAGCACCTGGGCCAGGTGCCCACCCTGCTGGGTCAGCCCCCAGCCAGCCACACTGCACCGGGCCCCCGCAGTGACCACCTGTGGCTTACTGGGCAAGGCCAGGGGCCGGATGATCCGGCTGGGCCTCACTTTCCTTTCCAGCTACAAGTGACAGGAAGGGGCAGGTGAGAGGGGGATAGGCCAGCAGTGGGGACAGTGGGGTGCTGAGTTCTCCCCCCGCCCATCCCCGTGCACCTTAAGCAGAGCGAGGTCATTCTCCAGGTCAGGGTCTGGCCTGTAGTCAGGGTGCTGGACGATTGACTTGATGTGGAAGGCAAGGCCGGGGCCGTCCAGGGCGTGGAGCCCCAGCACCAACCTCAGCCCGGCCGTCCTGAGGACAGAGGGGATCAGGGTGCTGCTGCCTGGCCCGTCATGGATGACCCACACATACAGCCCCGACCTCCTGTGCCTGTCGTTCACGGCCATCACTCAGCCTTAGCCCCTCGCAGGCCTTGGCTTTCACCAGTCCTTTCCCCTGTGTCTTTTCAACTCACCTCCTCCAGGAAGCCCTCCCCGCTCTCACCCCTGCCCCAGACTTCTGCCCGGCCCTGGCTCCAGCCCCAGGCAAGGGCTGTGTGTCTGAAAATGCCAACCCCAAGCCTACAGCTTCACGAAAACCAGCCCGGGGAACTTCCTTCACGTGGGGCCCCAGGCTAAACCACAGTGATTTGTACAGAGTTTGGTGCATGCCAATCCTCCTAACTGTGCCCAAACTATAGAGAGCCAAACTTGCTTTCCACGGGACTGCGGGTTCAATCCTTGCCACCTTGATAGAGGGGCTTCCTGGCATGCAGCAGAGCTGGGAGGCAGTCACAACGCACTCCATCCACACCAGGAAATGGATGTCCTCACACAGGAGGCTCCAGGGCGCCTCCTGTGAGCACCTGGATCAAGCCACACCTGAAGCTGGACCTCCTGCTAGACTTTTCAATTACACAAGCTGGCAGATCCCTTTTTGTTATTTTGACCATCTTGACCTGGGCTGTGTATGACTGGCCAGTCCTGAGGTCGGGCAGCTCTGGGCTCTGTATGACTGGTCAGTCCTGAGGTCGGGCAGCTCTGGGCTCTGTATGACTGGTCAGTACTGAGGTAAGGCATTTCCAGGATGGGTCATTTAGTGGCTTCCCAATTCCGGGAAACCAGGTCAATTCCTGCACCACCCTCAAAGGCCTGCTTCGTTCTCCTGGCGTCAGGGGGCAAACAACCCACCTGACCTTCCTTCCCCAGTGCAGTGGTCCCAGACTAAGCTGGATCCATCAGCGGGTGAATGGAGAGACACAACCCACTCCATTCACACCAGGACCGTGGCTCAGCCGTGGAAGGATTCAGGCTTGGACACAACCCGCTCCGTCCACACTAGGACTATGGCTCAGCCGTGGAAGGGGCTCCCACAATTGGCCTAAATCTACCAGAACCCACCCTCTGTGGAGAATGAGGGCCGTGGGATGGATTCCCCGGCCCCCTGGGGTGGGTGGGGCAGGGTACTCACCGCTGGGGCAGGCAGTGTGCGGCTGTCAGCACCCACTTTACGTGCACCAGGACCCCCCCGCACAGGTGGGAGCCGTTCCTCTGCAGCGAGGCCATGTATGGGCGTGAGTGGGGGGCCACCTCCTGGCCCCCGATGATCTGGGCTGCAAAGGAGCTGCCTGCCAGGGTGGGTGAAGAGCCAGGTTGGGGCTGCGTGTTCCCACCCCTGCTGAGACTGTCCTTGCCCAGCTCAGAGGCCCAGGACCCAGAACGGATGTGCCATCCTAATGACAACCCCAGTGTTCCCTGAAACTTCTAGGCTGACATGTGGGGGCTGCACTTGCTCCCTCCTATCCCCCCTCCCATCCTCCCAACCCCCTCTCCAGGACCTTCCCAGGCCCCACTGGGCCCCCCAGCCCAGGGAAGTTCACCGCCAGAGGAGTCCTTCAAAACATGCATCAGGCCAGGTGCCGGTGGCTCATGCCTGTGATCCCAGCACTTTGGGAAGCTAAGGAGGGAGGGTCACTCAAGGCCAGGAGTTCAAGACCAGCCTGGGCAACACAGCAAGACCCGGTCTCTACAAAACCTTTCTTTTCTTTTTTTTTTTTTTTCTGAAATGGAGTTTCGCTCTTGTTACCCAGGCTGGAGTGCAATGGTGCGATCTCGGCTCACCGCAACCTCTGCCTCCTGGGTTCAGGCAATTCTCCTGTCTCAGCCTCCTGAGTAGCTGGGATTACAGGCACGCGCCACCACGCCCAGCTAATTTTTGTATTTTTAGTGGAGACGGGGTTTCACCATGTTGGCCAGGATGGTCTAGGTCTTCTGACCTTGTGATCTGCCCACCTCGGCCTCCCAAAGTGCTGGGATTACAGGCTTGAGCCAGGGCACCCGGCCTACAAAAACTTTCTCTTTTCTTTTCTGAGATAGAGTCTTGCTCTGTTGTTCTAGCTGCAGTGCAGTGGCATTATTTCGGCTCACCACAACCTCCACCTCCCCGGTTCAAGCGATTCTCCTGCCTCAGTCCCCCAAGTAGCTGTGATTACAGGCTCATGCCATAATGCCCAGCTAATTTTTGTATTTTTAGTAGAGACAGTGTTTCACTATGTTGGTCAGGCTGGTCTCCAACTCCTGACCTCATGGTTCACCCGTCTCGGCCTCCCAAAGTGCTGGGATTACAGGTGTGAACCACCGTGCCTGGCCAAAAAAAACTTTTTAAAAACTTAACCGGGTATGGTTGTGGGTGCCTGTGGTCCCAGCTACTCAGGAGGCTGAGGCAGGAGAATCGCTGGAGCCCCAGGGGTGGAGGCTGTGGTGAACCAAGATGGCACCATTGCACTCAGTCTCAAAATAAATAAATAAGCAAAAACCAGATTCCCACCAGCAGAGAAACAGGCTCCTCAAACACTGTGGGTAGGAATGTGAGGCAGGGCAGCCACCCAGGAAGTTCTTCAAATGTGAAGTCAGAGCCACCACGTGACTCAGCAGCCCACTCCCGGATACACAGGAGGAATGAAAACGCAGAAACTGCACGCAGACGCTCACTGCAGTGTGAGTCCTAGCGATCATGAGAGGGTGGGAACAGCCAAAGCGTCCATCCAGGGAGGGGTGGGTCAGCACCACGCGGCCGTCCGCACCGCGGAAGACAACTCGCCCGTGAAAAGGAGCGTGGCTGGGCGAGGTGGCTCACACCTGTAATCCTGGCACTTTGGGAGGCTGAGGTGGGTGGATCACCTGAGGTCAGGAGTTCGAGACCTGATCAGCATTGAGAAACCCCGTCTGTACTAAAAATACAAAAATTAGCCGGGCGTGGTGGTGCGCACCTGTAGTCCCAGCTACTCAGGAGGCTGAGGCAGGAGAATCACTTGAACCTGGGAGGCGGAGGTTGCAGTGAGCGGAGATCGCGGCACTGCACTCCAGCCTGGTGACAGCGGAGGGAAAAAGAAAAAGAAAAGGAGCAGGACTCTGACCCAGCTGCAACCCCGCCTCCTGGGTTCAAGTGATTCTCCTGCCTCACCTTCCTGAGCAGCTGGGATTACAGGCGCCCACTATTACATCCAGTTAAGTTTTTGTATTTTTAGTAGAGACAGGGTTTTGCCATGTTGGCCAGGCTGGTCTCGAACTCCTGACTCCAAGTGATCCACCCACCTTGGTCTCCCAAAGTGTTGGGATTACAGGCGTGAGCCACTGCACCCAGCCAAGGTTCTCCTTTTTTTTTTTTGAGCCAGAATCTGGGTCTGTCACCCAGGTTGGAGGGCAGTGGTGTGATCACACCCCCACGCGGCCTTGAACTCCTGGGGTCAAGAAATCCTCCCACCTCAGCCTCTCCGAGTCCTGGCAATACAAGTGTGAGACACTGGGCCTGGCCACAGCTGTACTCCTTTTTTTCTGGGATAGAGTCTTGCTGTGTCCCCCAGGCTGGAGTGCAGCGGCAAGATCTTGGCTCACTGCAACGTCTGCCTCCTGGGTTCAAGCCATTCTCCCGTCTCCACCTCCCGAGTAGCTGGGATTACAGGCGCCCGCCACCACGCCCAGATAATTTTTTTTTTAGTTTTAGCAGACACAGGTTTTCACCCTGTTGGCCAGGCTGGCCTCAAACTCCTGACCTCAGGTGATCCACCGGCGTTGGCCTCCCAAAGTGCTGGGACTGCAGGTGTGAGCCACCTCGCCGGGCAAGAAGTGTACTCTTTTTTAAAAAAAAATTTTTTTGCTTCATTGTCAATGGAGAAGAAGTGTACTCTTTAAATAGATGAATAGCACATGAATTATTTCCCAATAAAACTGTAAAGAGGCCGGGCGCGGTGGCTCACGCCTGTAATCCCAGCACTTTGGGAGGCCGAGGCGGGTGGATCACAAGGTCAAGAGATTGAGACCATCCTGGTCAACATGGTGAAACCCCATCTCTACTAAAAATACTAAAAATTAGCTGGGCATGGTGGCGCGTGCCTGTAATCCCAGCTACTCAGGAGGGTGAGGCAGGAGAATTGCCTGAACCCAGGAGGCGGAGGTTGCGGTGAGCCGAGATCGCGCCATTGCACTCCAGCCTGGGTGACAAGAGCAAAACTCCGTCTCAAAAAAAAAACCAAAAAACAAAAAACTGTAAAAAGTTATTTAAAACCAATCATGAATTTAAAAGGATTGATTTTATAACCTAATGCAAATCAGATCAAAATCTCCCTCCAATTCCCCATCATGCTTGAGAAATCCACCCACCACTTGGGGGCCAGGGACCATGTGGCTCATGCCTGTAATCCCAGCACTTTGGGAGGCCGAGGCGGGTGGATCACCTGAGGTCAGGGGTTCGAGACCAACCTGACCAACATGGTGAAACCCTGTCTCTGCCAAAAATACAAAGCTTAGCCAGTCGTGGTGGTGAGCGCCTGTAATCCCAGCTGCTCGGGAGGCTGAGGCAGAAGAATCACTTGAACTCAGGAGACGGACTGTACTCCAGTCTGGGCAACAAGAGTGAAACTCCATCTCAAAAAAAAAAAAAAACACCCACCCATGACCTCCAAGCCCCACGTGGCCCTGCTGACCACCTTCTGTCCTCCCTTCTCCCAACTCAAGGGTCCCTGCTACGCCTGCAAGCTGCCTGCACCCCACCTAGCTGCCTGCGCACCTCCCCACCCCCTGCCCGGCTTCCTCCCTTGGTTTCTGCTCCTCTCCCCTCAGAGGCGCCCCAGCTGCACTCTCGCCCTCTCTGCCCTTCCTCTGCTCTGCCAGCCTCCTAGCACCAGCCCCTCCCAGCCTCACGCCTGGCCTGTCTCTCCCTGGCAGACAGGAGGGCAGATCCCAGCCCTGTCTCGGTTACAGCAGGCCTAGAACAGTGCGTGCCCTGCAAATACAGAGGGATACACGGCAGGAAGGGAGAAAAGGAGGAGGCGCAGAGGGAGGAAGGAAAGAGGGATGGAAGGAGGAGTGGGTGAAGGATGGATGGGAGAAAGGAGGGAAGGAGGGAGGAAAGGAGGGAGAGAAACATGATGGATGGATGGGTGGATACATGGAAGGAAGGAGAGAAAGATGATGATGGATGGAGGGAAGGAAGGAGGGATGGATAATGACAGATGAGTGGAAGAATGGGAAGGAGAGATGGATGGATGGAGGGAAGGAAGGAGGATGAAGGGAGGGAGGGATGGATGCTGCATGGATGGGTGGAAGAATGACAGGAAGGAGGGATGATGGATGGATGGACAGAGGGAAGGAAGGAGGGGTGAAGGGAGGGAAGGAGGGAGGGATGATGGACCCATGGGAGGAAAAGAAGAATGGGTCAAGCATGGTGGCTCACACCTGTAATCCAAGCACTCTGGAGGCCAAGGCGGGTAGATCACCTGAGGTCGGGAGTTCAAGACCAGCCTGACCAACATGGTGAAACCTCGTCTTAAAAAAAAAAAAAAAAAGAATGGGAGGATGATGGATGGCTGGATCTCTACCTCCGCCCATCTGCTTAGGTCCCCAGCTCACCAGAGTCCCTCTCACCCAGTCCAGCCAGCACGGGAACCAGCGCCCACCTCCCTCCTCTCTCACTGCTGGGCACCTAGTCCCAGCCAAGCCTTTGGTTATGGGAGGCAGCCGGCAGGGAGTGAGTGCCAGCTCTGCGCTCCCAGCTGGGCAGTCCTAGGTGGGGCGTTTCCTAGCCGGACCTCAGTTTCCTGCTCTGCACCTCGGTGTGATCGGGGCCCCTGTCTTCTGGGTGCTGCCGGGAGGATGGACAAGGTGAGCGGGTGAATGGCTGCACTTCCCAATGCTCCTGGAACGCCAGCTCTGGGTGAAGCGTGAGGAGCTTGGAATGCCCCCGGCCTGTCTCCCCTCCAAGCAATGATGAATCTCCACTCTTACGCCCAGGATGCTGCCGCCCACGCCCAACCCTCCCACCCAGGGACCCCCCAAGAGCTCTGGGCCTCAGTGTCCCTCTGCACTCTGGCTCCCACTCACCTGCCGACAGGGCCCCCAGGGCCAACACCAGCAGTGAAGACACACAGGCCTCCATGCTGCTGCAGAGACCCAGCACGCTTGCCAGCAACCCCCCCCAACCCTGTCCCCATGGCTTCCTGTGGGGGAGGTGACAGTCACAGCTCCACCTACAGCCACACACCCCAAACCCCTCCACCCACGAGCACGTTAGAAAGTGTTTCTCGGCCAGGCACAGTGGCTCAAGCCTGCAATCCCAGCACTTTGGGAGGCCGAGACGGGTGGATCACGAGGTCAAGAGATCGAGACCATCCCGGTCAACAAGGTGAAACCCCGTCTCTACTAAAAATACAAAAAATTAGCTGGGCATGGTGGCGTCTGCCTGTAATCGCAGCTACTCAGGAGGCTGAGGCAGGAGAATTGCCTGAACCCAGGAGGCGGAGGTTGCAGTGAGCCGAGATCGCGCCATTGCACTCCAGCCTGGGTGACAAGAGCAAAACTCCGTCTCAAAAAAAAAAAAAAAAAAAAAAAAAAAAAAAAGTGTTTCTCAAAGAGAAGGACTCAAGATGAAGCCACACTACCATGATCACACCTGAAAAAGGACCAAAACGTTATTCTCAGAGACAGCCCAGGCTGGAATGGCGTGATGGCAGCAGCCTCAAACTCTGGGCTCACATGATCCTCCTGCGTCAGCCTCCCGAGCACCTGGGACAACAGGTCCTACCACCGTGTGTGGGTGATTTTTTTTTCCCCCCATTTTTTGAGACGGAGTCTGGCTCTGTCACCCAGGCAGCTTGATCTCGGCTCACAACCTCCGCCTCCCAAGTTCAAGAGATTCTCCTCCCTCCGCCTCCCAAGCAGCTGGGATTACAGGCACACACCACCACACCCGGCTAATTTTTATGTTTTTTAGTAGAGATGGGGTTTCACCATCTTGGCCAGGTTGGTCTCAAACTCCTGACCTCAGGTGACCTGCCTGCCTCAGTCTTCCAAAGTGCTGAGATTACAGGCATGAGACATGCGGCTAATTTTAAAATTGTAGAGACAGGGTAACACCACATTTCCCAGGCTGATCCTGAGCTTAGTTCAAGCAACTCCCCTGCCTTGGCCTCTCCAAAATGTTGGGATGACAGGAGTGAGCCACCATACCCAGCCGTTGACAGACTTCTGATGTTGAATGTGAAGTGTTCAAATCACCCTAGATGTATTTATTTCGGTTTCAGTGTGTTTTTTCTTTGCCCCTTGTTATTGTGATAAAACATGTAGAAAACCTACTTTACGGATGGTCCAGTGGCTCACGCCTATCTCCACTCTTACGCCCAGGATGCTGCCGCTCATGCCTGTAATCCCAGCACTTTCGGAGGCCGAGGCGGTGGATCATAAGGTCAAGACACTGAGACCAGCCTGGCCAACATGGTGAAAGCCGGTCTCTACTAAAAAATACAAAAAATTAGCTGGGCATGGTGGTGCGCGCCTGTAGTCCCAGCTACTCGGGAGGCTGAGGCAGGAGAATCACTTGAACCTGGGAGGCACAGGGTGCAGTCAGCCGAGATCGTGCCACTGCTCTGCAGCCTGAGGGACAGACCACACTGTGTTTATCCAGTCACCGGTGGACGGGTGTTTGGGCTGTTTTAGCTTCTGGTTTTCATGAATAGTAATACTGGCCGGGCGCGGTGGCTCACGCCTGTAATCCCAGCACTTTGGGAGGCTGAGGCAGGTGGATCACGAGGTCAAGAGATCGAGACCATCCTGGTCAACAAGGTAAAACCCCGTCTCTACTAAAAATACAAAAAATCAGCTGGGCACGGTGGTGCGCCCCTATAGTCCCAGTTACTCGGGAGGCTGAGGCAGGAGAATTGCCTTAACCCAGGAGGTGGAGGTTGCAGTGAGCTGAGCTCACACCACTGCACTCCAGCCTGGGCAGCAAGAGCGAAACTCAGTCTCAAAAAGCAGCTAAATCTCAGGGACAATCCTGAGAATTAGGTGTGGCTGTGCCAATAAAACTTTATTCACAATGGCGGCGGACACCAGGTGTGGTCCCAAGGGCCTCTCATACCTCGGGCTGGCCTGAGAACACCAGCCATCTTGCCTGCCCCTGTAACGGCAGAACGTGTTGGTACCTGCTGAGCGCCTGCAGGTTAACACGCCTGGGCTCCCACGGTCACTGCTCAGCAACACCGTAGTGCCCCGTGGACGAGGTAAACTGGACGGACGGCTTACAGGGGGAGCAATGGAAGAGGCGGGGGCCCGTACCATCAAGCCAGACTCCCCTCAAACCCACCTCAGACAGGCCAGGTAGTGGCCTGGGCTTAAGACAAGCCAGAAGTGTGAGCCCAGGAATGGTGATGTGGCGTGTGCCGAGGTGCAGCTCAGAGGCCACAGGTCATGCACCCTGCAGGGCCCAGGGGGGTCTCACAGGTCACCCGAGTGCCCTTCTGCACCCCATGCCCCCTGGCAGGGGTACCCAACCTCCAACCAATGCAGCCCCATTTTGTCTGAACTTGGTGGGAAAGCTCATCCTCACAGCTCCTCAACCGTGAATCCAGCCACTATGGGCTTTTCAGCTGCCCAAAAGCAAAGCCAGGAGCTTCTGGACAACTGAACACAGGTAGGTTCCTGGGAGGCAGCGCACCCTGGGAGGGCAGGGAAGGGCGCCAAGCTTTCCCCCATGAAACAAAACGACTCCAGGGACTTCCTGATGCCAGGATGCGAGGTGCCTGCCCTGTATGCCCAGGGCCACGGCTCTCCCACCCCAAGGGTCTGCCTGGACAACGATGGAGCCCCCAGAGTGCTCAAAGGGGCAATCTGTGGCCTTGAGCCATCCCCAGATTGCTGATGGGGGCATTTGTGGCCAAGGCACCAGGATCAATGCCCAGGCGGCTGTGGCCCTGGGATGAAGCTTTGCTGGATGCCTGCAGGGGCAGCTCCTGTCCCCTGAAACACACCTGGTCACAGGGAGGAACTTCGGGGGCTTTCAGTTCACTGCAGGCTGGGGGATGCCGCCCAGGCCCGTCTGACCCCAGTTTGTGAGCTACGGGCTATGGGAAGCGGCTGCTCCCCACGCCTCCTGAGAGGCATCCCGGACCCACACCAGGCGCAGCTGGGTCCCAGCAGGCTGCCTCTCCCTCCCCACAGAGCTTCTGTGGCTTCTCATAAAGTAGTTTTATTTAGATTCCACACAAACCAAAGCAGAGAGAAGAGTTGGCCACCACGAATCTGTCCACTTGCACTGGGATGTGGCTCCGGGCCCTGGGGCCGACACGCTGGGCCGGGACCCTCAGGCCGGCAGCCGCCCACCCACGTTCCCTGCTGCGCTCCCTGTGACTCCTCTGGGCTGCAGCCAGTCTGGAAGCCGTGGCGCCTGGGCAGAGGCCGGGACTCTGTTCCCCTCCCGAGAGGACAGGTGGGCTGGCCACTCCCAAGCTGGGCCCCCGTCCACAGAGCCCCGAGTGACGTGGGTGGCGGTGGGGCAGCCCCTCTTCTCTGAAGCACATGAAAACCCAGAACAAACATGGGAAGGAGAAAAAGAGCCAAACAAAACAACCAGAGAAGGAGCACAAAACCTCTGTGAGGTAGTCTGTGGTCTAAGGATCCATACGGTCCGGCCCTAGTGAGGTGAACTCTGCGTGTTTATTTGAGCGGTGTCAGGACTCCTCGGTGCCCGAGTCGTCCTCGTCGTCCCCGAAGCAGCTGTCAGCCTCCCCCTCTGCCTCGCCGTCCTCGTAGTAGTCGTCATAGAAGAGGTCCGAGCCCTCGTCAGGCGCCGGCGCCTTGGTCTTCACGCAGTACTCGGCCAGCGTGGTGGGTACCTTCACCCCGTCACGCTCCGCGTCCACCTTGGTCCCCAGGACCTGCTTCCTGGTGGGACAGGATGGGTGAGGGCGCCACACACGGGCCTGGACCTGGCCCCTGCCCCCAACCCCCATGCCTGACGCTCATCCCAATGCTCCGCTGCGTTCAGCAACCTCGGAGGAAAACGCTCGAAGTGAGGAACTCCGGAAGGGAGACACAACAGAGGACGGGCCTGGGAAGGGCAGGAGGCGCAGGCAGGAGGCTGACGGGCGCAGTGCAGTCACATCCACCCATCCTGCTCTGAAGCACACCCCACAGGGACCCGTCAGGAGCTGGAGAAAGTCATGACACCGGGTGACAGGGAGTGCCCGTGCAGCCCCACGTCGGGGCAAAAGACTTTCCTGAGTGCAGGAGCAAAGCAAGCAGCTGGGGGGGCCTGAGGACAGGAGGCAGGACCATCCTGGAGCCGAGAACCAGCACAGGTGGGACGGGAGACGCAGAGACGGCCAGAGCCTTGCCACGCCCTCGCTAGGATTCTAAACCAAGGCAGGCCTGGCCACGCTGGCCTCTGGCAAGAAGGGAGGATGAGTTAGCACCAACTTTCCAGAGGGCATCATGGACACCAGGCCCTATAAGGATGGCCTACCCTGAGCTCCACCTCCATGACGCACATCAAGAACGTCCTTCTAGGACTCCCGGCAAGGGGCTTCTGGGTGCCCGCACAGCAAGGCCGGGCTGCACAGTGACCCCATTTGACAGAAAACAGGAACAAGGCTGCAGCCTCAGGCGATAGGCTAGGGACTGAAACCCAGCCCTCAAGCCCCATCACAGACCAAGAAGGCTCTGGCCCTGGCTGCTCCCAGGGTGACCAAGACAGCGCTGGGCCTGGCAGCTCCTGGGGTGTGTGGGTTCCACAGTGCCCGCAGAGGAGGGCAGCAGGGCGTGGACAGACAGCCCCAAGCCCAGAGCTTCCTCCTGTAGGGAGGTGGGAGGCATGGAGGGCCGACGTCTGGCCTCTAAGACGTCCCTGGGCAGACCCGGCAGATGCCGCACTTTGTTTCCCGAGCTCTCCAGCAGGCTGGACGCAGAGGCTGAAGTGGGCAACGGCGCCCTGAGGCCAGCACTGAATGGGGGTGGGGGGGTGGGGCGTGGGGAGACCCAGGGGAGGTCCAGGATGGGACCTGACCTGCCAGTGGCACACCCCCAGCATGAACTGGAAGACTGTCTGGCCGTGCTGTCCAGCAAGACCAACAGCCCTGAACAAGCCGGGCTCACAGCACCTGCCCCACACAACGCAGTGGGACTCTGGCTGCCATAAGGCCAACACACACACGATTTAAAAACAAGCAGAAAGCAGCGACCACATCAGGCCACATGGGCACACGTGAGTTGGCCTGCAGGGAGTTTCGAGGGATAAAAATAGTGTGGCTTTTATTTCTGTGCTGGGATCTGAGGGGGAGGTACCTCAGGGAGGTGGCCAGGAAGAACCGGGCCAAGGAACTGGCCACATGTGCCAGGTGACACGGCTGGGCCAGGGCCGCTGAGGGCATCTGCACCGAGGGACTGCCAGGCCGGCTCCCCCCTGACCTCCAGAGGCCAGTGGGTGCTGGCAGAGCACCTCCCAGGATGCCACACAGGGGCCTGTCCACTGTGGCTGCTCAGAGCAGAGACTGCCCAGCACCACGATGCTGCCCCAGGACAACTCCACGACACCAGGTGCCAGCAAATGCAGGAGGGAGTGCAGACGGAAGGCACTGGAAGCTCGTGGGGCCCGGGCTGGGGACACACATGGATTATGGGTGCAATATTTTAAAGATTTTTTTTTTTTTTTTTGCCTTAAAGGTTGCTTTTAAAATTCTGCTTGGCCAGGCGCAGTGGCTCACGCCTGTAATCCGAGCACCTTGGGAGGCCCAGACGGGCAGATCACAAGGTCAGAAGTTCAAAACCAGCCTGGCCAAGATGGCAAACCCCATCTCTACTAAAAATACAAAAAGCAGCCAGGTGCAGTGGCAGGTGCCTGTAGTCCCAGCTACTCAGCTGAGGCAGGAAAATCTTTTGAACCTGGAGTGAGGGAGGCTGCAGTGAGCCAAGAATGCACCCCTGCACTCCAGCCTGGCAACAGCGTGAGACTCCATCTCAAAACAAACAAACAAACAGAAAACCAAAAATACAAAAATTTAGTTGGACATGGTGGCGGGCACCGGTAGTCCCAGCTACTCGGGAGGCTGAGGCAAGGGAGCTGCTTGAATCTGGGAGGGGGGGTTGCGGTGAGCCGAGATCGTGCCACTGCACTCCAGCCTGGGAGACAGGGCAAGACTCCGTCTCGAAAAACAAACAAACAAAAAACACTGAGGCTTCCACGAGCAAATCCCTGTGACCTCACTCAGAGAAAAGGAAACGGACTCAGAGAAAAGGAAACGGACTCAGAGAAAAGGAAACGGACTCAGAGAAAAGGAAACGGACTCAGAGAAAAGGAAACGGACTCAGAGAAAAGGAAACGGACTCAGAGAAAAGGAAGCGCCTCGACGTAACAGGAAGATCAGGAAGCTTGACTGTACAGACACGCACATGTTCACACATCCACATCAACAGACACCCAAGAGAAGGGGCTGTGGGGCTCAGCTCTGGGCGTGACGGGGACAGCACACGGAGAGCTACCAGCTGCCACACAGGGGAGGCGGACCGCAGGTAGGGAAGGCACTGGTAGGCTGCACAGCTGCAGCCAGAGCTTGCCAGGCCAAGTGCCTGCAGGGACACACTCCCCACACGAGTAACAGCAACACTGCTGACTAACAGTCACCAGGGCGCACACAGCACGGCCCCTGTTCTTCATTAAAGCAGAGACATAAGTAAACTGACAAGCCTGAAAGAATCTACAGAAACATCAATCACTAGGCCGGGTGTGGTGGCTCACGCCTGTAATCCCAGCACTTTGGGAGGGTGAGATAGACAGATCGTCTGAAGTCAGGAGTTCGAGACCAGCCTGGCCAACGTGGTGAAATCCCAACTCTATTAAAAATTACAAAAAGCAGCCGGGCATGGTGGTGGGCATCTGTAAACCCAGCTACCCAGGAGGATGAGGCAGGAGAATAGCTGGAACCTGGGAAGCTGAGGCCGCACTGAGCCAGGGCACTCCAGCCTGGGTGACAGAGCCAGACCCCATCTCAGGGAGAAAAAAAAAGGGGGCCAGGCACAGTGGCTCACGCCTGTAATCCTAGCACCATGGAGACCGAGATCCTGAGGTCAGGAGATCGAGACCATCCTAGCTAATAGGGTGAAACCCTGACTCTACTAAAAATACAAAGAAATCAGCCAGACATGGCCTGTAGTCGCAGTTTGTAGTCCCAACTACTCAGGCGGCAGAGGCAGGAGAGTTGTTTGAACCTGGGAGGTGAACACTGCAGGGAAACGAGATCATACCACTGCACTCTAGCCTGGGCCAGAATGTGAGACTCTGCCTCAAAAACAGGAGGAAAAGAGGAAAAGGGGCAAGACGCTGGGCCCGGCCTCCACCTGTGACCGCTGCCCTGTGAAGGAGCAACAGGAAGCTCCTCCGCCCTCACCAGGACAGTGGGGCTGGGCGGCTGCAGGCCTGCCCACCGTGCAGGTGTAGAGAGGCCCAGGATTGCCAGCTGGAGTCTCTCCTCCCGCCCACCCCCCTGCCCTCACCGGATGATGTCCGTGTACTCCCGATCCTTCCCCTTGCTCTCTTTCCACTTCCTGTACATCACGGAGGCGTCCACGTTGGCGGGCGAGAAAGTGTTGGGCTCGTTGAGGAGGGAGATGACACTCAGGAGAATGGTCCTGTGGGGAGAGCGGCTGGAGTGGACCTGCCCGGGGAACCCTGGACCCGCCCAGCAGGTGACCTTCATCTGCCCTCACAGCATCTGCTTGTGTCTCGGGCCCCCAGAACAGCAGGGGCTAGAACTGCACCAGCCTCCTGCCTCCCATGCCGGGACCAGGGAGGGCAGCAGGGCAGACCCCGTCCGTCAGACCTGGGGCTGCCCTCATGCCCGTACATCCAGCCTGGGCTGTACTCCAGGACACGCCGGCAACAAGGCCCAGTGCCTGTACCTGGGGATGAGGCCCGGGGGGCACACATGGCATGAGGCGACCAATCCAGAGATGGCTGGGGAAGGAGAAGACCCCAGGACTGGGGCAGGAGGGGCACCTCTAGGTCGTTCCAGACCGTGGGGCTGGCCTGGGGTGGTGGGAGTCCACACAGACACCATAGCGCTGCAAGCCCTGTGAAACCGCCCACCATGCAGGTGTAGGGAGGCCCAGGATTGCCAGCTGGCAGGTCCCGAACCAAGCCTCGGCGCCACAGACTGGGAGGGAGCCCGGGCTACCTGATGTCCTCGTTGGACATGGCGGGGGGGGGCGGTCAGGTAGCCTACCTGACATTCTGGGTGGGGTTCCACCTCTCCGAAGGCAGCTCCCCACTCTGGGGGTCATCCACTGGGGGGTGGAGGATGGAGATGCACACATCCCCCGTCTGCACAGGGAGAGGACAGGTCAGAGGTCAGCACTGGCTCCCAGTGCCCCCCGGTCCCAGACGATGAGGACGTGAGGCCCATGGGGGCTGCACTCACCTCATAGATATTAGGGTGCCACATCTTGGTCAGGAACCGAAAGGCCGGTGGAGAGTACGGGTAGTCGATGGGGAACTTGAGGCGTGCCTGCATGGGCAGAAAGCCTGTGGCTTGGCTCAGCTAGCCCTGGCCCCAGGCCCTGCCCCAGCTAACAGGGAACCTGAAGCCATCCCACTCCCAGTGCTGGTGCTCCCAGGATAAGGCCCAGGCCGTGTGCCTGAGGCACGGTTTGTATGAGGGACACTCCATCCGGGCCAAGGCAGGGACTCTCAGGTGCGTGGGGTCAAGTCCCCAGCAGGCGGCCTCAAGCCTTCTGAGTCACCTGAGCTGATCACAGCTCCTACAAGTCCAGATGGCCAGGGCCCGACTCTGCACAGCTGCTGGGGAACGTGGGCATGAGCAGCCCAGGTCAGGCACATGGGACCCGGGCGGGGACACCCACTAGCAGTCAGAACGGACTGGCAGGGACTCCAGGCTCCTCTCGGATGGAGCTGAGGCCCAAGACCAGGACTACACCTCCAGAGCCTTGGCATCCGGGGTGTGGGGAGGGTGAGCACAGATGACTGCTCACTCAGCAAACACTCCCGACATCTGCCGTGGCTCAGGCCATGGTGGGGGATGAGTCAGCATGGCCACCTGCCTTCAGGTGTACAGTCCTGGGGCGTCAGGTAGGTCGACCCACAGGTCACAGAAGCCTGGCAGGACCTGTTCCCCATCAGCATCTCCCAAGACGGCCGCCCAGCCTTCTGGCAAGGGTGGCCACGGAATGAGGAGCTCAGCCACGTGCTGGGTGACAGAGCGGTCTGGCCTGTGGCCTGGGGCGTGATGTCATCCACGGCCCTCCCGGGCCCCAGCAGGTATACAAGGAAAGAAGCCTCTCTGTTGGCTGGCTGCACGCCAGGCATGTCTGGGTCAGGGGTCCTGGGGGCACTCAGCACTCCAAGGCGCTCAGGGCAGCACTCCCCAAAAGCCAGTCATTGGAAAGGCCCCTCCTGGACAGGATGGGCACTCAGGGGTTCTTGGGGGATGTTCTCTGTTTGACAGGGAACTTACTGGGGTCCCGTGAGGCAAGTAGCTTGGCTGAGGCCACAGAGGAAGGCTGGAATTTTGGCCTCAGAACTGCCCAGTAGTTCCCCAAGACTTCAGGCCCCCGCCAAGCCTGGTGCTGGGCTTGAGGCTTCAACAGCAGCACAGAGAACCTGCCTCATCTGTACCAAACCCCACCAAGTCCCAATGAGCCTCTTGCTTTAAGCACCTCTAAAAACGCCTTTTACTTGGAGCAAATCCAGGCTCAGAGAGGGAAAGCACCCCGCCAAGGGCACACAGCAAGCTAGCTGCAGAGGGGTCTCTCCAGCAATGCCTGCCTCAGGGCTGACTCCGGCACCTGAAGGCGCAGCAGCTGCAGGCAGTGGCTGGGCAGCAGTGGTGGCCCTGGCACTCCATAGCTCCTGGATTTACATAACCCCCACTCCTGCCCTGGCACAGCGGGAAGGGAGGGTCCTGGTGGGGGCAGCACCCCCATGTCTCAACACTGGCTTCTGAGGACTGACCCTGCGGCAGATGTCCAGAGGCCCCCTCCCAAGGAAATCCGGAAAACTGGATTATCCCCTAATACTGCCCAGGAGCCTCTGCCCACAATCCCTGGCAACCTGTCTGGTGGGCAGCAGCCAGAAACCGGCATCCCTTCCTTCCAGAACAGCAGCCGCCTCACAGGCCTGGCCTCGAGGTGGAACTGCCCCTCCTCACAGCCAGCTGCTCCCACAAGCAGACAAAAGGGGCTGGGGGAGGGGGGCTGCAGAAACCATTTGGCAACCTGCAGGCCCAAAACCCCGTGTGGGGGGACACAGGATTGCAGAGGCAGAACCCAGGACGTCCCACCCTTTGCTGTGAGCCAGAACCTCAGCTCAGGAATCACCCCCAGCAGACCAGGCTGCTGCCCTCACAGCCGCTGAGTGGGCGCTGCTCAGACTTAAGCGGCCCAGAGCACAGACATTCACCCCGTGGGAGGCATCAGCCCCTCGGCCCCATGCCCACAGCTGGCCGGGCTGAGGCTTCTGCTGCCCACCCGGCCTCCAGCCAGGGCAGAGCGGGCAGGGCCGTGCCCAGGCTCTTGGCAGGCAGTGGCAGCGGGAGGGGGCATCCTGGGCAGGGCGCTCGCTCCCCACCTCTGACACGGGGCCCCTCGCTTTGTCCCTCTGGCCCCAACAGCAGAGTCCTGTGACTCCTTTTAAAGTCAAAGGTCACGTCTGGACGGAGAGATCAAGAAACGCGCCCAGGCTGTGGCCTGAATCCCTTTCACCCGGGACGGAAGCAGCCTCCCAGCTCCCAACAACAAAAACACCGGGAAACCGCTGGGAATCGAGCCGCCAGAGGGCGGAAGAAACGGCCCACAACCCGGGGTCCGGGCCACCAGAAGCCACCTGTTCCGCGGAACCCGAGAGAGGCCCAGGCCAGCTGGGATGAGCGGAGCGCGCAGCTTCTGGGGTCGGAGCCGGGGCCGCGGAGAGCTGCGGGGAGCAGGCGGGAGGCCGCCCCTGCCCCGGCCTCCCCGAGCGCGCAGGTTACATAAAGCCGGGCCGGAACCCAGGGCGCCTGGCCCGGCTGCTGTCGGCGAGGGTGGCCGCCTTCCAGGCAGGTCCCGGCTGCCAAAGTCCGTCCGGGCCTTTGTTGGAGCCCGAGCGAGAGGCCGCGCCAGCCGCCCCCAGGCTGGCCTCGCTCCCCGACAATGGCAGCTGCGGGGTCGTGCGGGGAGGGGGGAGGCGGCAGGAAGGCCGGGGCGGCCCTGGCTACGCTCCCCGTTTCCCGCAGGGCTGCCGGGGTCGAGCCCCCCGAGGAGGAGGCCGGCAACAGTCTCACGCCCGGTGATCCGGGGTGGGGGGGGGCCCGGGAAACTAACAGGGGGCCGGACGGCGCCTTCCGGGGAGTTGGGGATCCTCGAGGACCCCGAGAGTGACCGCGGAGGGGCCGGAGAGCTGGGGGCGGGGGGTCCCGTGGCCGCAGGAAAAAACAAGCCCGAGCCAGGAGGCTGCGGGGCAGGGAGCGGGTCCCCGGCGCCCCAGGTCGCTCGCGGGCTCGGGGACCGGGGCGGGGTGGCCGCGCTCACCTTGAAGTAGCCGCCCTCGTAGTAGGTGTTGGGGGGCCCGAAGATGGCCACCTCCCAGTTGTACAGGTCGCCCTCGTCCACCAGGGTCACGCGGAAGCCCTCGACCGGCTCCTCCTGGAGCCCCTTCAGCTCCAGCAGCAGCGCCTTCTGCGAGCTGGGAACCAGCGGCCGGGCCATGGCGGCGGCGGCGGAGGAGCCGGGGGTCGGCGCCGCGCGGGGCGGCGGGACCACCGCGAGCTCGCGAGACGGACCGGGCCGCGCGCCGGCCGGGGGGGAGCCGCCGCCTGCCTCCTCCTCTGCGCCGCCGCCGCCGCCCGGGGACCCCGAGCGCTCCACCAGCTCTGCCGCCGTAGACCACCCGGCGCCCGCCTCAGCCCGGCCCGCGCGCCCCGCCCCCCGCTGCGCCTGCGCGCCTCGCCGGGCCCGGACTGCGCCTGCGCGCCGCGGCCAGGCCCGACCTCCGCCTGCGCGCCCGCCCGTGGGGCACGCCGGGAAATGGAGTCCCCGTCCCGGCCCCGCCTACCGCCCCCGCCGCCGGGATGGAGTGGCCGAGCGCACAGTCCTGGGCACTTTCGACCCCGAGGCCGCCGCCGTCGCCCCAGCTCCACCAGCACCGCAGACGCTGTGCGCAGGGAGGCAGCCAAAGCTGTGCTGCGCCGCCACCGGCCCGGCCCCCGGGCTTTGGGGTCGTTTTGTGACGTTCCGGCGCGGGGCGGGGCCGCGGGCGGTGAACGCGGCGCGGGGTGGTGTCCTGACCTGGGCCGGAAGGTCCGTCCCGGCTTCCGGTCCCCAGTCTGTACTGGGGACGGGCGCGAAGTCTGTCCTGGGGAACGCCGGGCGCGCGGAGGGCAGGACGGGTGGCAGCCAGGCGCCGGGCGGGGGCTCGGACACCCGGCTTCCGGGCGCAGCGCTGCCTCGGGTTCCCGCACCGCGGGGGCTCTGGGAAGTGGGCGGGGTCAGGAGGGCTCCGAGGGGTGGGAGACAGCGAGGACTTCCCGGTGGAAGTCCCCACGTGGTGTGAGCCGGTGCAGGCGCTGGAGCCATCAGAGGTTGCCGAGGGGTCCCTGTTCCCTAGAAAAACGGGGAAAGAGGCGGACTCACTCCAGCCAGCATCGGCTCAGCGCCTGACCCGGGAGAGACCTCAGCCCCACGGATCCCCCACCCCAAGCTGAACCCCTGCCTGGCTGTGCCCTCTTCCCAGGCTGACCTTTGTCCCAGCCGAGTCTTTTTTTTTTTTTTTTTTTTTGAGACAGGGTCTCGCTCTGTCACCCAGGCTGGAGTGCAATGGAAGAGTCTCACTGCAACCTCCGCCTCCTGGGTTCAAGCATTTCTTCTGCCTCACCTTCCTTAGTAGCTAGGATTACAGACGCTCGGCCAGCACACCTGGCTAATTCTTGTATTTTTAGTAGACAAAGGGGTTCACCATGTTGGCCAGGCTGGTCTCGAACTCCTGACCTCAAGTGTGTTAGGTTTTGAAAGGAAGGCCAGGGTGGAGTTTGAACTAACAGAGTGATTTGCCTTCCTCAGCCTCCCAAAGTGCCGGAGCAGCAGGCATACCTGTCTGGGGAAAGGAAGCAGTCTGTCAAGAGTGGAGAGGAAGCCCGGAATGCGAGACAGAGCTCTGGCCGAGCGGCCACTTCCAGAGCTGTCCAGGGCCCAGGCCATGGCATCCTCGCCCATGAGGGGCCTCTGCGCCTCCTCTCAGGTCCTTCTACATGGCAGCCGTGGGGCCTGGAGTAAAATGAGGGTATCAGGACTAGTGGGGCCCTTCCCCAAGGTTCCCAGGGTTCTCATCCTCAGTCTCTTCCGTGGCACGGGTCGTGGATCTATTGAAGCCTCATATCGCAGGCAGCAGCTCATGGGCATATACCAATTAGAATTAATTACGATTCACCGTCTGAGGCGTCCCAGGATCTCCCTTCTGTACACCCCACATCCTGGGAAGCATTGTGTGAGTGGGGAGGTTTTTTCTGTTTTGTTTTGTTTTGAGAAGGAGACTTGCTCTGTCACCCAGGCTAGAGTGCAGTGGTGCAATCTCGGCTCACTGCAGCCTCTGCCTCCTGGGTTCAAGCGATTCTCCTGCCTCGGCAGCCTGAGTATCTGCGATTACAGTTATGTGCCACCACGCCCAGCTAAGTTTTTGTATTTTTAGTAGAGACAGGGTTTCACCGTGTTAGCCAGGATGGTCTTGATCTCCTGACCTCGTGATCCTCCCCCCTTGACCTCCCAAAGTGCTGGGATTACGCGCATGAGCCACGGCACCTGGCCTGGGTGGGGGAGGTTTTCAAGCTCCTCCAGCTGGTCCCACAGGGCTCTGACACCCAGGGAGGCTCAGGCTCAGACCATCCTGGAGCAGTGGACACCAGGGGCTTCCACCCACCTGCCTGGGAGCTCCGTACTCTGTGGGAATGGGTTCAAACTGGACTGACCCAAGACCTGGCTGCAGGGAGGGGTCATCCCATCAGTTCCCAGGACCCCCACACTGGGCTATGATGATTGGTTCTGGAACAAGCCTATGATTCCTGACACCCAGTGAGATTCAGCCCTGGGACATTTCTCTGGGATCACAGTGGCTGAGCTGGAAGGACCAGGGCCTGAGTTATGGGGTCATCGTGTCACCACAGTACCTGCAAACAAGGCGGCCTCATAGGAAAGCTGAGCAGGCTGATGACAGGGGAAATGTTAATCCTATTAGTGTTCCTGGATCCAGCTGTACCTGACCTCCTCTGGATGTTCCAATGATGCAAGCCCATGAATTCTTCCTCTCTCTCAGCTACTCAGGAGGCTGAGGTGGGAGGATCGCTTAAGCCTGGGAGGCAGACGTTGCAATGAGCTGAGATCAATTCTCCCGCCTCAGCCTCCTCAGTAGCTGGGATCACAGCATGCACCATTACACTCAGCTAATTTTTGTATTTTTAGTAGAAATGGGGTTTCACCATGTTGGCCAGGCTGGTTTCGATCTCCTGGCCTTAAGTGATCCTCCTACCTTGGCTTCTTATTTTATTTTATTTTTTGAGATGGAGTTTCACCATCTTGGCTCACTGCAACTTCCGCCTCCCGGGTTCAAGCTATTCTCCTGCCTCAGCCCTCCGAGTAGCTGGGATTACAGGTGCCCACCACCATACCCAGCTAATTTTTAAATTTTTGGTAGAGAAGGGGTTTCACCATGTTGGCCAGCTGGTGCCCAGTCCAGAGTGACCATCCTGCAGCAGCCTTGCCGGGACCCAGCTTTGGAAGGAGCTCAAGTCTCAGAGGGGGATTCCGGATTCTGCCTCTCCATCTGCCTCTGGGGTGGGGAGTGGAAACATTATCGTGGCTTTTCTTGCGAAACAGGCAATTTTCCAGGATTCATTCCTGTGTTGACTCATTGGTTCATTCATCACTTACCCTAAGCCCGACTGAGTGCTGGGAAATGGGGAGGCAAGCCTGGTCTCTGCCATTATGGAACTTGTAACAATTTAAAAATTGTTTCTGGGCCTGGGGCGGTGGCTCAAGCCTGTCATCCCAGCACTCTGGGAGGCCGAGGCGGGTGGATCACGAGGTCAAGAGATGGAGACCATCCTGGTCAACATGGTGAAACCCTGTCTCTACTAAAAATACAAAAAATTAGCTGGGCATGGTGGCGCGTGCCTGTAATCCCAGCTACTCGGGAGGCTGAGGCAGGAGAATTGCCTGAACCTAGGAGGCGGAGGTTGCGGTGAGCCGAGATCGCGCCATTGCACTCCAGCCTGGGAAACAAGAGCGAAACTCCATCTCAAAAAAAAAAAAATTGTTTCTGTGTGTGGTGTTATGATGCATGGTGGTTTTCTTCCCTGGTTCCTGGATTGCAGCTCCCACAGCCCTAGTTGCAGACTTTTGCTATCATGCTGATGGCTGGTTAGGCCTCTGGAAATAATATGTTCCAAGAGCTGAACACGTGCAGATGGCAGGGGGGTGGTGGTACCCAGGGACGGCTTGGAAGCTCCAAGACGGCTCCCTATACATCCTCACGGCATGCCAAGCCCCACCCTATGCACACCTCACCCTGCTTCTGTTATGTTTTGCCGTATGCTTTATAGCAAACCTGTAAACACAAGTGTTTCTGAACTCCGTGAGCTGCACCAGCAAATCAATTGAACCCAAAGGGGTGGCGGGAACCCTGACTTGAAGCCCGTCAGCCATAAGTCCTGGAAGCCGAGATTTGCAACTGGTGTCTGGCGAGGGGGCAGTCTTGGAGAACGAGCCCTCAACCTGTGGGATCCGACACTGTCTCTGGGTAGAAGAAGGCACTGAATTAAGGGGACACCCAGCTGGCGTCCACTGCTTGGTGCGTGGGAAAAACCCTCCACGTGTGGTCACAGAGGTCTTTTCCATGTGGACGATTGTGAGGACGGTGGCGGTAAGAGCAGGGGAGAAACACGGTTTGACTTTTCCCTGTGTACTGTGGGACCCTCTCCATCAGAATGGGCTGTCACAACTGCCATTTAACAGGAGAGACTCAGGCCAAGGGAGTGAGGTCACCTGCCAGCAACCATTCAGAGCTGGGATTCCAGATTTGCTTTTTTTTTTTTTTTTTTTGAGACGGAGTTTTGCTCTTGTTACCCAGGCTGGAGGACAATGGCGTGATCTCGGCTCACCGCAACCTCCGCCTCCTGGGTTCAGGCAATTCTCCTGCCTCAGCCTCCCGAGTAGCTGGGATTACAAGCACATGCCACCATGCCCAGCTAATTCTTGTATTTTTAGTAGAGACGGGGTTTCACCATGTTGACCGGGATGGTTTCGATCTCTTGACCTCGTGATCCACCCATCTCGGCCTCCCAAAGTGGTGGGATTACAGGCGTGAGCCACCGCGTCCGGCCTAAGAGACAGGGTTTCACCATGTTGGCCATAGTGGTCTCGAACTCCTGACCAAGTGATCCGCTGCCTCAACCTCCGAAAGCGCTGGAGTTACAGGTGTGAGCCACCCAGCCGGCTGGATTCGCTCTTTCTGTCTGAGAAGTGATTCTGGTTGTTGGAGGTGGGGGGACTGAGGAGTATCTAGTGCCCCTAACAGGTATGTTAACTCCCACTGGACCCCACCGGTGGGGAGTGGGCGGCCATGTGCGTTCTGGAGCAGGCCTGGGCTCAGATCTCCGCTGAGCCCTTGCTGGGGTGTAACCTCCGCCGTTGGGGCCTGTTCCCCGTCTGCAAAACGCAGGCTGGAATTTCCTTCCCCACAGTGCGGCCTGGGAGTCACAGGCGGCGACACTTCAGGTGCTGGGAAGGGTTGGGGTTACGATCTCACTGATGTCACTTCCATCTGCGCAGCTGCACTGTTCTCTATTTGGGGAGACTGAGGCCAGGGAGGATACCTGGGGCGGGCGGGGCTGGGGGGGGCCCCGCAGGGGGCCTCGCTCAGCTGCCCCGACCAGGCCGGGTCCAGGGGCCCCCGGGGGTTTCGGGCCTCGGATCCCGCCTCCAGCCCCGGTGGTTAAGTGGGTGGGGCGGGGGCCTGCGGGGGAGAAGCATCTTCTGCGGCCCCGGGGTGGGAGGTGGCCGCGCGCGCGCACACACAAGCGTGAGCCTCGCAACACGTTTTATTAGCGCGGGGCAGGGGCTCCGGCGGGGGTGGAGGGCGGCAGCGAGGGTGGGTGGGGCGGGGGCGTCGCCTCCTGGGAGCCCGGGCCTCCACCCCAGGGCCCGGCGCCTCGGGGAAGGCCCTCACCCGGGCGAGGGGACGCGGGGACGCCCCAGTGCAGGTCCCGGATCCGCGTGGCGTGGCGCGCGGGGCTCAGCCCACCGGCTTGACCTTGGCGATGAAGAGCGCGGCCGCCCTCTCCAGGAACTCCTCGCGGGTCATGGGCGCGCTGGGCCGCCGCCCCCCGACGGCGCGGTCCAGCGCCAGCGCCAGGCTGTCGGGCCCCAGGCGCGAACCCGCCTCCAGGAAGCGCGCGGGCGCCGCGGCGTCGCTGGCCTGCAGCGCGCCCTCCAGGGTGTCCAGCACGGCCTGGCCCACGCGGCGGTCGGCCACGGCGGCGGCCGGGTCCTGCAGCAGCTGGAAGAGCGCACCGGCGCGCGCCACGAACTCCAGCAGCACGAAGCAGGTGAGCGTGCCCGCGCGGAACACGCTCAGCGGCACCGCCTCGTGGTCGCGGCACTGGACCTTGCGCAGCAGCGGCGCCACCACCTCCTCGGGGGCCCGGCCGTCGCGGCAGATGCGGCGGAGCAGCTCGCTGTAGGTGCGGCCGTCCAGCCCGGGCCTCTTCCTGCGCCCGCCCGCGCTCAGGCACTCGTAGGCCACGGTCACGTTACTGTTGAAGGCGGCCCTGCGGGGACGGGCACGTTGGGGGCCGCGCAGAGCCCTGGCGCCCACCCAGCCACACAGCCCCAGCCCCGGCCTCCCCTCCCCGCCAGGCCCAGGACGTAGCCTCCCGGCCTCCCCTACCCCCTATTCCTGGTGCCCTCCCCTTCCACAACCCCGGCCTCGCCTCCTCACTCTCTCTCCCTGCAGCTTCCCCATCCCAGCCCCCGGCTCCCTCCACCCAGCCCCCACCCAGCCTGGGCCATCCCTACCCCCAGTCTAGGCTTCCCTCAGGACCCCCCAGTCTAGGCTCCCTCCTTCTCCCCCCACCCAGTCTAGGCCTTCACTTCCCCCAGCTCCCCTCAGCCCAGGCCTCCCTGCCCCCAGCCCCCACCCAGCCTGGGCCATTCCTCCCCCCAGGACCCCCCACTCTAGGCTTCCCTCCTTACACCCCCAACCCAGCCTGGGCCTCCCCTCCCCCCAGCTCCCTTCAGCCCAGGCCTCCCTGCCCCCAGCCCCCACCCAGCCTGGGCCATTCCTCCCCCCAGGACCCCTCAGTCTAGGCTTCCCTTCTTACACCCCCAACCCCACCTGGGCCTCCCCCTCCCTCCAGCTCTCCTCAGCCCAGGCCTCCCTGCCCCCAGCCCCCACCCAGCCTGGGCCATCTCTCCACCTAGCACCTCCCAGTCCAGGCCTCCCTCCTCCCAGCCCCCACCCCGCTGGAATCTCCCCTCCCCCAAGTCCCCACCCAGCCTGGGGCTCCCTCTGCCCCCAGCATGGACTTCCCCTCCCTCAGCCCCCACCCAGCTCAGACCTCCCTCCCCCAGCCCTGGCTTCCAGGCTCCAACTCTGGACCCGTCTCAGGGCCTTTGCAAGGGCAGCCTAGCTGCCTTCCCCCATCTCCCTCACCTCCTCCCTGACCTTCTCTGCTCCTGTTTTCTTCCTAGTGGTGCCCTGTCTGACTTTCGGGCACAAACCCTGTGAGCTTCACGTCTCTCCCAGCAGAGCGTCGGCACCTGCCCCCCAGGGCCGGAAGTTCATCCTGGTGCCTAGAACGGTGCTCTGCACACAACAGGTGTTCGGGAAATGTCTGCCGAGTCAACCAGCAGGCCTCGGTCTGGGGCATCGGGCCCCAGGGACCCTCTGATCTCCCTCCCTGCAGCAACGGTCCCTGTTTACACTTGGCCCAATACTGGGCTGTACTTTAACAAAGCTAACGTTTCATTTTCTTTCTTTTTTTTTTGAGACAGGGTCTCATGGTGTTCTCCAGGCTGGAGTGTAATCAGAGCTTACGGCTTCTATCTCCTGGGCTCAAAGGATCCTCCTGCCTGGCCTCATTCCCCCGTCGGTTCCTGGCCGGGACTCACACTAGTGGCCTGTTGTTATCTTCTCTGGGACATAGAGGGAAACTGAGGCTCAGGGCAGGCCCATGATCTGGCCAAGAGTCCCAGAGAGGAAGTGGCCAGCCTCAGGGCTTACGCTTGTCCCTTCTGGGAGCTCAGCTTCATGGTGAGGAGGGCAGGTTTACATTGAGGCTCCAGCCTTCCCTCGGGTGTTACCCGGGCACACGGCTGCACCTTTCTGTGGGTCACCTGTGCTAGGTTCCCAGGAAGTACTGAGCCAGCATGCAGTAGGTGCTTAGGAAGTGCAGGGTTGGTGTACAGTAGGTGGTGCTGGGCCAGCATGCAACAGGTGCTCAGTAAATGCAGGGCCGGTATGTGATGGGTGCTCAGTAAATGCTGGCCCAGTGTGCAATAGGTACTCAGTAAATGCAGGGCTGGTACACCGTAGGTGCTCAATAAATGCAGGGCTGGTACACCGTAGGTGCTCAATAAATGCTGGGCCAGTATGCAATAGGTGCTCAGTAAATGTCGGGGTGGTAGGTCAGGCGCGGTGGCTCACGCCTGTAATCCCAGCACTTTGGGAGGCTGAGGTGGGCGGATCACTAGGTCAAGAGATCGAGACCATCCTGGTCAACATAGTGAAACCCCATCTCTACTAAAAATACAAAAATTAGCTGGGCACGGTGGCGCGTGCCTGTAATCCCAGCTACTCGGGAGGCTGAGGCAGGAGAATTGCCTGAACCCAGGAGGCGGAGGTTGCGGTGAGCCGAGATCGCGCCATTGCACTCCAGCCTGGGTGACAAGAGCGAATCCCCGTCTCAAAAAACAAACAAACAAACAAAACACCAACGAAACACCTGGATGACCTCTGCAGAATGAGCGAGATGAGCCTTGGCTGTGCTGAAGCCACTGAGGTTTGCACTTGATGGTTCCCGGGGTGCACGCAGCTGCTCCTGACTGACAGGTCCATGGGCCGGGATTCACCCAGCTTCGCCCACCAACATTCTGCATGAAGTCTCTCCTCTGCAGGCGGTCGCCCTCGTCTGCCTTCCCACACATCCACGCGGCCCCTCGCCGGGCCCAGACCTGCCTCGGGTTTGTTTGCAGCTCTGTGGGGCGACTGGCTTGTGCAGTGCTCGACCTGAACAACCATATATGGTGGTCCTGCTGTTGACTTCTTCTCTTCCTTGGGAGATTCTCTTCCGGATGTCCTGGGAAGCCACTTCCTCCTGTCCCGCCTCCTTTACTTCTGGTCTCACCTGGCCACCCTTTCTCAGAGCTATGTGCGCCCTGCTTTTCTGAGCCTGGCCTTGATCATGTAGGGAGTGGGGATTCATGTGAGGACGGGAGAACAGGGCTGGAGCCAGGTGCCCCGGAGGCCCCACCTGCCCTTATTACTGGCTGTTACCGGAGCTGCAGCTCAGCCACAGCTGCCTGGAGGGGCAGGAAGACACACACACGGGTAATTACAGCCTGGTGGGACCAGAACAAGAGACAGGACTGTGACGCCCGACTTCCAGGCTCCTCCTGGGGCTCCTTGGAGGTGACAGCAGGAGGAAGAGGAAGGCAGCAAGCGCTTGGCCCGGAGGCCGGGGCTGGAAGGTCAGCTCTGCCTGGGATGGTGGCTGCTAAGCCTTGGTTTCCCTGATTGCAGAATGGAGACCGGGAGCCCAGCCAGGTTCCCTCTGTGTCGGCTCCTACACAGAGTGGTTTGTAAGGCGTGTGCACATTTGTTAATAAAGATTCTATTTATGGAAAGCCTCCAGGAAGACACATAGGAGCCGCTCCGAGCCTTCCACTTCTGCTCCCCACTCCTGCCCCGGCAGACTGGCCGGAGGCCAGGGACGCTGCTCAGGGACCCACAGTGCTCAGGACGGCCCCTAGAGAATGAGTTGGAGGAACCCTAGCCCAGACCTGCCAGCTCTTCATGTTCGTGCATGTTTTCCTGGAAGTGACGTGCCCGGGGCGGTGCAGACCCCAGCTCTGCTCTTGGTGACTCTGTGGCCCTCAGCAGGTCACGTAACATCTGTGTTTGTGCTCCAGGGGCCTTGGAGGTGACCAGGAAGGTGGCAAGAAGGGGACACTGTGGCTGCCATCACCAGCCCGGGTGGTGGGAGCTTGCCATTTCTCAAAAGAAGCTGGAGAGAGGGTGGGGGTGACTTCTCCCCTTGTCTACCGTGGTGGTGCTCTCGGGAGCAGCCCCAGTCAGCCCCTCAGCCTTTGTGGGGGGCCACACGCTGGACTGTGGGAACAAAGCTGCACAGCTCTGGGCTTCTCCTCCTGACTGGCCAGGTGACCTCAGGGGGTTCCTGATGGTCCAAGCATGTAGAGGGGGCCGGGGCTGCCTGCTGTGAGGATGGGAGCAGCCCTGGATCCGTGGACACAGAACCAGATGCCGCCCAGCTGTACGCACCTGTCTTCTGCATTCACCACTGGCCGTGTCTCTGGGGAGCCCAGGCGGGCCCAGGGCCACCAGCACCACCCTTGCCCTGTGTCCCTGGGGTGACTGGGGCCCGCTAAACTCACCCATCCAGAACCTCAGACTGATGGGTCTACTCACACGGGAGTAGGGTGAGCCCTAGTGGTGTCCTTAGGGTTCACAGAACAGAAAGACGGAGGAAGAGACAGCCACAAGCTGCATTTTCCCAGCAGCCCTTGGGAATTATAAATATATATACTCTCATCTGTAGTGTCTATGGGGCGAGTGGCTTGTGCAGTGCTCGACCTGAGCAACCATATGTGGTGGGCCTGCTGTTGACCTCTTTTCCTCCTTGGGAGATTCTCTTCTGGATGTCCCTGGAGGCCACTTCCTCCTGCCCCGATTTCACCTCTGGTCTCACCCTCCCACGATTTCTCATGGGCTCTCTGGGCTGGACACCCTCAGAGTGTGGTCCTGAGCTCTTCTCATCTCTTCTGAAGCCTTCAGGACCCCTCCCGGTCCAGTCTCCTGTGGCCGCCCCGGGTCTCAGTTGCAGAGGCTTCCGTCCACCTTCCTGTCTCCAGGCTCCTCCCAGCCTCCAACGGGATCCACATTGATTCTGGCAGCTTCTTCAAACCAGGGGCTGCCATCCCAGTAAACGGCTCCACTGACGCTCTGAGCCTGCCCTTGCCCACTACCCTCCCCCTGGGCCCTTGAAAATCCTCATGTGGGGCCTTTAGAGCCACTGGGCCTCCTGCCACCCTGCTCCTCGTCCAGGTCCTCAACACCCTGCCACCATTATCTGAGTATGATCTTGGACACCTGTGCACCCTGACCCTGGTGGGGGACACTCCCCCTCTCTCTCCTCCCCGAGAACTCTCTGAGACTCTGGCGAGGGCTGCCAAGGTGGGCGCTTATGCCCTGGTTATCAGACTGAAAGGGCACCTTTGCTTGGCATCCTCCCTGCCTGCTCCAACCCCCTTCCTGGGTCCTCCTGGGCGCACCCCCTTAGAAAATCACCTGCACACAAAATGCCTGCCTCAGGCTCCGATTCTGAGGACCCCCGCAAAAGACAGCAGTGCATCCACACCCAACATCAACACATACTCCTCAACCACCCTCCCCGGGCCCAGCTACGGGACACCGCGCCTAGGCACCTGCAGCTCCGCATGCTTCAGCCAATCTCCGTCTCAAAAAAAAAAAAAAAAAAAAAATCATATACTGCAAGGGGAACCTCGGCGGCTGCAAAAAGTCATCATAGAAGGCGAAGCCGGCCAGGGCTCGAGCCGCAGGCAGCGCGCTGCCCAGCGCCAGGCCCAAGCCCGCACCCTCCAGCCCACCTTTTCCCGTCCATCCCCGCCAGAAGGCATTGCGGACTACAACTCCCAATAGGTCCTGCGCCCCCCGCGCCTGCGCCGCGGGCAGGGAGCCGCGCGGGGCATGCTGGGAGTTGAAGTCCGCCACCGCCCCACCCGCCGAGGAAGACCCGCTACGCACCTCTGGGAGTGGTGGGCCAGGCGAAGGTGCCACAGCGCGCGGCCCAGTCGCTGCTGCTGTAGCAGGAGCTGCCCCGGGGGCTCCCCGGCGCCGCCGTTTACAGGTGAGCGCAGGCCCATGTTCTCGAAGTAGTGCGCAAGGAAGGCGATCGGTTCCTCGGGCCGCGCCTCCAGCACCTTCAGCAGGGCTGCGCGTAGCATCTCCGTCACGCCGACCTGCCGCAGGAAGTCCTCCTCGCTCTCGGTCGCCCCCGCCGCCTGGGACACCGACTGGCGGCCGCTGTCTGTGAAACCGGCCGGCGGTATTACCGTCGGTCGCCTCTTCTCCACTGTCGCCATCTTCGCTGAGGGCAGTGGGACCGGAAGCGCCGCCATATTCCACTGTGTGTTAGAGCCCCCGAGGCGGCCATCTTGATGAAGGGCAGAGGGCGCGGAAATGCAGCTGAGAGACTGTGGAAAATGGCAGGAGCACGCTGCCCTTTTCCCTGTGTGCTTATTGGCACTCTTTCTTCGCTTCCCTCGTTGTGTAAATTGATTGGCTCTCTTGGCTTTGGCCTGGATCCTGAGTTTTGCCAGGGTCCAAAATGGCTGCCTCGGAAGTTCTCCGTTTCTGGCATGAAGCCGGATTGCTTGCCAGCTTCGTAGTGAGCGGGTCCTCCATTAGTATGGTCTCCTAGCAACCAGTCTCCCTGGTTACCAGAGCATCCTGAGGAGCATGCGCGGGGATGGACCCGCCCCGGACTGCTGAACCCAGCTTAGCTTCGTTCGCTCACGGCCTTCGGGCACTCCCGGCCCCCCAGTGTTTTTTTTTTTTTTTTGAGACGGAGTTTTGCTCTTGTTACCCAGGCTGGAGTGCAATGGCGCGATCTCGGCTCACCGCAACCTCCGCCTCCTGGGTTCAGGCAATTCTCCTGCCTCAGCCTCCCGAGTAGCTGGGATTACAGGCACCTGCCATCCTGCCCCGCTATTTTTTTTTTTTTTTTTTTTTTTTTTTGTATTTTAGTAGAGACGGGGTTTCTCTGTGTTAGCCAGGCTGGTCTTGAACTCCTGACCTCAGGTGATCCGCCCGCCTCGGCCGCCCAGGGTGCTGGGGTTACAGGCGTGAACCACCGCGCCCGGGCCCCCAGACCCTTTTCTGATGATCATCCCTGAGCCTTTGTGCTGGGGGTCGAGCTCAGCCGGGCCTTCCACGGAACCCTGGCTCGTCTGAATGCAGCTCACCTCGTGGGAGAAGCGCCCTCCCCAGCCCTGCTGCAGATGCGCTGAGGCTCCACTGGCGGCCACGGGGCCGAGCATCCCAGGCTGTTTCCCTCCTGACCGCCAGAGGGAGCTTGCTGACACCGCAGCCTCCAGAGCTCTAAACTCTCCCATGGCTCCCCAGTGCCCCTGGGCTGGCACCTCCAGCCCTTCATTGGCTGACTTCGCTTCTAGCCGCCCTCCCGCCCCTCCTCAGCCCCGAGCCACCTCAAAACACAAGCAGTCTCCTCCGTAAGCCGCCTCTCCGTGTGTTTCCCCGGGGAACCTCCATGTAGCTTCTCACTTCTGCTTTCTGAGACTCCAGGTTAAGCTTCTTCCCAGGGAAACCACTAAGCCCTTGAGTTTTCCCTGCCCTGGCAGAGCTCGCTGGGCGCCGTTCCGTCCCTCAGGGGCGTTGCTCTGGGCAGGGGGCAATGAGGTGTGTGTGTGTGTTGGGGCGGTTCCAGCATGGGCAGACCAAACGCGCTTGATTCTGCAGTCCTGGACCAAGGGATCGGGGAGACGGAGCCATCAGGACGGGCCCACAGTCAGCCCTCTGGCTGTCCGGAGAGCCCTCGGACCTCTCCTCTCCACGGGGTGGTGTCAGCTGAGAAAAATGACAAGTGTCAGTCATTTTAGGAGGTGTATTTGCCAGAGTGAAGGACGCGCACCCGTGACGCAGCCTCGGGCAGTGCTGCCGACAGGTGCCCAGGGTTGTCGGGCACAGCTTGGTTTTATGCACTTGAGGGAAACAGAAGGCATCCATGTGAGTATAAAGAAGTAGGTAGGTCCGTTCCGGAAAGGTGGGGACCACGCGAACAGGGAGGGGCTTCCAGGTCACAGGTAGGGGAGACAAACGGTTGCTTTCTTTTGAGTTACCGACGAGCCACTGCGAAGGAGGCAACCAGAATACACATCTGTCTCAGAGGGAGGGACGACTTGGAATCGAACAGGTTTTCCCTGAGCAGTTTCCAGCTTGAAAGGGCGATTTTTCTTTCGCAGGGGGAAGGGCTGGCCACTCAGGAAGGGCTGCTCCCAACCTGGTCCGTACCCCTTAACCCAGCCCAGGCCGACACCCGGGGCAGGAGCCTCAGAGATGCTGGTGGGTGGGCTCCATCCTCAGCCAGGTGCCGGCAGCGTTTCCAGAGGCGATAGGTGGGCAAGGCCAGGAGCAGCAGCCCCAGCACCGCGCTGCTGGTCCACAGAGCCACGGACAGCTGATCACCCGCAGGGTTGTGCGCTGGGGAGAGCGGGAGACGCCGGTCAGAGGCCTCCAGGCCTCTGCAGGCGTGGGAAGGGAGGGGCCCCTCAGAGGCCCCCATGCGCCTCCACAGTGACCACGTTCCCTGAAATTTAACAAAGGACTTTACAGTGACCCTTTCGAAATGTGCATAGCACCTTAGAGTTTAGAGCTGGGTGGTCCCGGCCGGGCGCGGGGGCTCGAGCCTGTAATCTCAGCACTTTGGGAGGCTGAGGAGGGTGGATCACCTCAGGTCAGGAGTTTTAGACCAGCCTGGCCAATGTGATGAAATCCCGTCTCTAACTAAAAATTTAAAAATTAGCTGGGTGTGGTGGCACGTGCCTGTAATCCCAGCTATTCAGGAGGCTGAGGCAGGAGAATCGCTTGAACCCGGGAGTTGGGGGAGCTGGAGGAGGTAAGTGAGCTGAGATCCAAACACTGCAGTCCAGTCTGGGGGACAGAGCAAGACTCTGTATCTGGCCGGGCGCGGTGGCTCACGCCTGTCATCCCAGCACTTTGGGAGGCCGAGGCGGGTGGATCACGAGGTCAAGAGATCGAGACCATCCTGGTCAACATGGTGAAACCCCGTCTCTACTAAAAATACAAAAAATTATCTGGGCATGGCGGCGCGTGCCTGTAATCCCAGCTACTCGGGAGGCTGAGGCAGGAGAATTGCCTGAACCCAGGAGGCGGAGGTTGCGGTGAGCCGAGATCGCGCCATTGCACTCCAGCCTGGGTAATAAGAGCGAAACTCCAGCTCAAAAAAAAAAAAAAAAAAAAAGAAAGAAACGTGGCCGCATTCTTCTGTTCCTGTTTCTACTTCTATTCCAAAGACTGTTCTAGTGTACGAAGCCTGGAATTTACAAAGTGCCTTGGAATCCACACAGTCCCCGAAATTTACAAAGGACCCACTGGACAGATGGGGAAACCGAGGCCGGGCAGGGCTTGTCTAAAGTCTTCATCCGAGGAGCCTCTCTCTCCCAGCCCTTCCCCACCCTCCCTGCCCCCGGGGACCAGAACTCACAGCTTGTTGGGGTCACTTCTCCCTGTGTGGGTGCCGCCTGGGAGACTGCAGGGCGGCAAGTCCTGGTGGAGGCCAGGCTCCTGGGGCTGAGTGTGGGGCCCTGTTGGGAGACGGTCTCCTGGGAGGTCATGACGGGGGGCTCCGGGGAGGTTATGACAGGAGGCTCCAGGGAGGTCATGACGGGGGGCTCCAGGGAGGTCACGACGGGGGGCTCCGGGGAGGTCACGATGGGGGCCTCCGGGGAGGTCATGACGGGGGGCTCCGGGGAGGTCATGATGGGGGCCTCCGGGGAGGTCATGATGGGGGGCTCCGGGGAGGTCGTGTCAGGGGCCTCTGAGAAGGCTGTGACAGGGGGCTCCGGGGCGGTCGTGTTGTGGGGCTCCAGGGAGGTCGTGTCGGGAGGCTCCAGGGAGGCTGGGCTTCGCAGGACTGGAAACAGAGTGGGGATGTTTTTCTCCCTGCTGCCCCAGGCCTGCCTCTCCTGCCTCAGTCTCCACATCTGGACTAAGGGCTTGGACCAGAACCTCCCCAAGACCCTTCCCTGTGAATCACATTTCAGTTTATTATTAAATGTGATTCCTCTGGTGAATCACATTTCAATTTATTATTACGATTATTATTTTTGAGATGGAGTCTCTGTCTCTTGCCCAGGCTGGAGTGCAGTGGCACAATCTCGGCTCACCGCAACCTCCGCCTCCTGGGTTCCAGCGATTCTGCTGCCTCAGCCTCCCGAGTAGCGACGGGGTTTCGTCATGTTGACCAGGTTGGTCTCGAACTCCTGACCTCGTGATTCACACGCCCCGGCCTCCCAAAGTGCCGGGATTACAGACGTGAGCCACCGCGCCGGCTTCTTTGTATTTTTTTGAGTCGGGGCCTCACTGTGTCACCCAGGCTGGAGTACACGGGTGCAACCATGGCTCACTTCAGCCTCTACCTCCCAGGCTCAAGACAGCCTCCCCACTTAGCCTCCTGAGTGGCTGAGAGGACAGGTGTGCAATACCACACCCAGCTAATTTTTAATTTTTTTTTGGTAGAGAGTTGCCTGCCTCGGCCTCCCAAAGTGCTGGGATTACAGGCGTGAGCCTGGCATAAAGCCTAGAACTTATAAAGGGCTTTGAAATCTGCAGGGTCTCACTGGGTGATGTGGCTCACGCCTGTAATCCCAGCACTTTGGGAGGCCGAGGCGGGTGGATCACGAGGTCAAGAGATCGAGACCATACTGGTCAACGAGGTGAAACCCCATCTCTACTAAAGATACAAAAAATTAGCCGGGCATGGTGGCGCGTGCCTGTAATCCCAGCTACTCGGGAGGCTGAGGCAGGAGAATCGCTTGAACCAGGGAGATGGAGGTTGCAGTGAGCCGAGATGATGCCACTGCACTGCAGCCTGGGCAACAGAGCAAGACTCTGTCTCACCAAAAAAAAAAAAAAAAAAAAAAGAAAGAAAGAAAAGAAATCTACACGGTTCCTGAAATTTACAAAGGACCCACAATCAGGGAAGTCCACTGGACAGATAGGGAAACTGAGGCACCACGGTGAGCAGGATGGGAGTCCGGGCACTCCAGGGACCCACTCACTGGCAGCATCACCCCAGGAAGCTCCTGAGCCTCCATGTGCCTCAGTTTCCTCAACTGTGAAAGGAGTGACAGTCACCTCTTTGGGCTGCCCTAAGAGTGAGTGGGGAGTGGCTCCCCCCCGTTTATTATGATGAGATAAGGAAGGAAGGAGGAGAGCTGGGAGGAGGCGGGTGTGGAGGGGAGGTGCCTGGGGGCTCTCTGCTCCTTCCTCTGTGGGGCTGACGGAGACGCCGAGGCCCGTGTGCTGTAAAATGTCCCTCACACCCAGCCTCCTCTCTGCCCACCTCAGCCCCATCCCCAGCACCAAGACCTCCAGGTCTCCCAGCTTCTACTCCATTCCCCCGGGAGCCCTGTGCTTGAAACACAGGACCTCACACATATTAGCTTGGGTATCGGGGTGCCCTATGGGGGGACAAATACTTTTTTTTTTTTTGAGACGGAGTTTCGCTCGTCACCCAGGCTGGAGTGCAATGGCGCGATCTCGGCTCACCGCAATCTCGGCTCACCGCAACCTCCGCCTCCTGGGTTCAGGCAATTCTCCTGCCTCAGCCTCCCGAGTAGCTGGGATTACAGGCACGCGCCACCATGCCCAGCTAATTTTTGTATTTTTAGTAGAGACGGGATTTCACCATGTTGACCAGGATGGTCTCGATCTCTTGACCTCGTGATCCACCCGCCTCGGCCTCCCAAAGTGCTGGGATTACAGGCTTGAGCCACCGTGCCCGGCCAAATCCCTCTTTCTTTAGTGGGAGAAGAGGTCGGGGCTTTGGGACAGGGCGTGAAGGGAGCACCTCCCGGGGACTAGCTCATGTCAAGCGTCTTCATCCGGGCTGGGTGCAGGGGCTCACACCTCTCATCCCAGCACGTTGGGAGGCCCAGGTGGGCGGATCACAAGGTCAGGAGTTCCAGACTAGCCTCGCCAATATGGTGCACCCTGTCTCTACTAAAAATACAAAAAAAAAAAAAAAATAGCTGGGCGGTGGCGGGCGCCTGTAGTTCTAGATACTCAGGAGGCCGAGGCAGGAGAATCGCTTGAACTGGGGAGGCGGAGGTTGCGGTGAGCCAAGATCGTGCCAGTGCACTCCAGCCTGGGTGACAGTGTACGACCGTCTCAAAAAAATAAAACCCTTAAACTTTCATCGTGCATTCAGCAAGGGTTTATTGAGTAACTGCTATGCACCAGGCCCTGCTCTAGCTTCTGCGGACATAGCCGTGTACAGGACACGGATTTCCACTCTGGGAGCCAACGGGGGAGATGGTCATGGAAAAATCAGAGGATGTACCGGCTTGGGGGGTGTCAGATGGTATAAAAGGTGTCGAGAGGCAGCGCGGTGGCTCACGCCTGTAATCCCAGCACACTGGGAGGCTGAGGTGGGTGGATCGCCTAGGGTCAGGGTTCAAGACCAGCCTGAACAACATGGTGAAGCCCTGTCTCTACTAAAAATACAAAAATTAGTTGGGCATTCTGGCGGGCACCTGTAATCCCAGCTACTCGGGAAACTGAGGCAGGAGAATCGCTTGAACCTGGGAGGCGGAGATTGCAGTGAGATTGTGCCACTGCACTCCAGCCTGGGCAGGAAGAGCAAAACTCCAACTCAAAAAAGAAAAAAAACAGGTGTCAAGAAAGAAAACAGAAGGGAAAGGGTGCTCACAGGTGGTGCGTCCTGTGTCTGTACATGTTAGGGGTTGGGGGCTGACCCTATGAACAGGAATTCAGGGAGTCTCAGTGAGGAGGCCACATTCACGAAGAGACCTGAGGGTGAGGAGGAGGGAGCCGTGGAAAGATCTGGAAGAAGGGTGTTCCAGGCAGAGGGCATGGCCATGCAAAGGCCCTGGGGCAGGACGGCGCCTGGCATGCTGGAGGAGCAGTGAGGAGGCCCGTGTGGCTGGAGCAGAGTGAGGAGGGGGAGGCCTGTGGAGGGAGGGCAGGAAGGGGACAGGGCAGGTCGTGCAGGTTCCTGTGGGCCATGGAGAGGACACGGGCTTTGACCCCACGGCAGGAGCCATGGAGGGCTGTGGGCAGGAAAGGGGTGGGACCTGGGCTGGTGGGGGCCGTTGCTTGCTACATCCATGTTGAGTTGATGAGTGTGTCCCTGGCTGTGTGGGGGTATCCAGTCCCCCCAGTGTCCCACAGCACAGGTGCTGGCCCCCACTACCGGCGCTTGTCAAGGCTCGGGTGGGCCTGTCTGTGCCGGCTTCCCCAGCGGACTCACCAGGGATGGCCTGGCGGTGGCTGAGCTCCAAACCGGGCAGCCTCATCGTGGCCTGGCAGTGGAGGGCGGGTGGGGCAGGGGTCCCCAGGGGCGGCAGCCGCCAGCGCCCGGTCACCCTGAACAGCATGTCCTCGTCCTCTTGTGACTCCTCCTCCTCCACCTCCAGGTCCAGGGCCTCCGCCCCCTCCAGCTCCCGGCCCCCCAGGAGCAGGGAGAAGGAGAGAGTGTTGGGGTCCGCGGGTGTGACCTTGTGGGCGGTGCAGGCCACCTCCTGGTCAGCAGGCCCCAGGGCTGCCGGGGAGACGGTCAGCTGGTCCGGGAAGGCTGTGATGGACGGTCGGGGTGAGGGTTAGCCCAGAGTCGGGGCTGCACAGGGTGGATGCAGGGGCTTAGGGCCGGGGCCATGGATGCCTGCGGGCTGCTGGTGAGCGGGCGGGGGCCACCCACACCCTGGGGGCCTGGAATACACTGGGGGAGGGGCCAGGGCCGGCCAGGGGTTGGGGTGAGTTGGGGGGAAGAGCAGGCTGGGCCTGGGCTCGGGGAGCTGCGCATCGAGCTGGGACAGGGTCTGCAATCCGGGAGGCTTCCCGGAAGCCGTGGCACAGGGAAGGCGCCGAAGTCCGAGGGTCAGAGGGAGGCAGGGCGCGAGGGGCCTCACCGAACACGAGGAGCCGCACGGTGTGCTGGAAGGTGAGGCCCCCGCAGGAGCCCACGCACACGCGGGTCCCGGCCGCCGACAGCGAGGCGTTGCTCACGGTGAGGACGCTGCGGCCCGCGTCCGACTGCACCGCGCCCAGGCTGGTGTCCAGGCCCCGCCACTGCACCGCGGCCCCGCGGCCCGCGCAGTCCAGGCGGCAGGTGAGCTGCAGCGACGCGCCCAGGGCCACGGCCACCGCCGGCTCCGGGGGCTCCACCTGGAGGGGCTGCGCTGCGGCCACCACGGATCCGGCTCAGCCCCGCGGAACCCCGGACCCACCCGCCCCTCCCCGCTCCCCGCCCCCCAACTCCCAGGCTCGGACCCTGAACCCCACCCGGACCCCCGCCCCTGCCCCAGTCCCCTAACCCCAGAACCCCAGTTGCCTAGAGCTGATTTCGCTGAGGGTCGAGGAGCTGCGCAGAGCCCCCCAACTTCCCCTCTCAGCCTCTGCCTCCTCCGAGCCCCCTCCTCCGGCAGGACCACCAGTCACCCGCCTCTCTCTGGGCGCCTTAACTGTGCTCCCCCTCCTCTCTCCTGCGCCCCCTCCCTTCCTGAGCCTTCTCCCCTTCGAGCCCCCCCCAACCTCATCCCCTCTGAGCCCCCTCCTCTGTCTGCGCCCCCTCCTCTGTCCCGCGCCCCCTCCTCTCTCCTGCGCCCCCTCCCTTCCTGAGCCTCCTCTCCTTCGAGCCCCCCAATCTCCTCCCCTCTGCGCCCCCTCCTCTCTCCTGCGCCCCCTTCCTTCCTGAGCCTCCTCCCCTTCGAGCCCCCAACCTCCTCCCCTCTGAGCCCCTCCTCTGTCCCGTGCCCCTTCCTCTCCTGCGCCCCCTCCTCTCTCCTGCGCCCCCTCCCTTCCTGAGCCTCCTCCCCTCTGGGCCCCCTCCTCTCTCCTGCGCCCCTTCCCTTCCTGAGCCTCCTCCCCTTCGAGCCCCCCAACCTCCCCCCCTCTGGGCCCCCTCCTCTGTCTGCGCCCCCTCCTCTCTCCTGCGCTCCCTCCTCTCTCCCGCGCCCCCTCCTCTGTCCCGCGACCCCTCCTCTGTCCCGCGACCCCTCCTCTGTCCCGCGCCCCCTCCCTTCCTGAGCCTCCTCCCCTTCGAGCCCCCCAACCTCCTCCCCTCTGAGCCCCTCCTCTGTCCCGCGCCCCCTTCCCTGCTCACCGTGGCCTGGCGGGAGGAGCCCCAGAAGCCCCGCCAGCAGGAGGCCCAGGCCCCGATCCATGCTCGGTCCCCTCTGTCCCCGGCCGCGGGGAAGCGGCTTAAATAGCGGCGCCCGCTCCTTCCCGCCGCCCCGCGACCCAGCTCCTCGGTCCCCCTCCCGCTGCTCCCCGGGGGCTTCCCGAGGGGCTTTCCCGGCCTGACCCCCGACCCTGGAGGCGGCAGAGAGGCAGGGGCTGGGGGCCAAAGACGGGGTGGGGGCCCCGGGGCGTCAGGACGGGCGGGCAGGAAGGTCTGGGTCCGAGCCAGGCCCCGTTTTCAGGGGCGGAAGATCGCAGACAGAGGCCGGAGGGTCGAAGTCAAGTGCAGGGAAGTGGGGCAGAGGCCGGGCTGCCCCCCCCAGCCCCGCGACGGCAGGTCCGCCTGCCCTTTCCCGGGAGGCCGCGCGGGGGCGGCAGAGAGCAGCTCGTCCAGCTCCGAGCTGCAGGGCTGGGGTCCCCTGGGGTGGGGTGAAGGTCGCTGAGGATGGAGGCCCCTGGGCTGGGGTCCCCTGGGGTCGTGTGAAGGTCGCTGGGGATGGAGGCCCCTGGGCTGGGGTCCCCTGGGGTCGTGTGAAGGTCGCTGAGGATGGAGGCCCCTGGACTGGGGTCCCCTGAAGGTCGCTGAGGATGGAGGCCCCTGGGCTGGGGTCCCCTGGGGTCGGGTGAAGGTTGCTGGGGATGGAGTCCCCTGGGCTGGAGGCTCCTGGCCGTCGGGGAGCTGTGAGACCCTCCAGGACCTGGGACAGGTCACCTCATCTCTGAGCCTGGTTTCCCTCCATCATACAGGTGGGGACTGCCCACTTAGCAGGCCTGGCAGAGACCGGGAGCCTGAGTGGGGGCTGCCTCTGTTCCTACATGGAGACCTGGATCTGGGTCCACAGAGAAATCCGGAAGGGCGGAGGGCTGGGTCCCAACTCACAGCTGCCATATTGCCAGAGCCCTGAGAACCTAACCTTCCAAACGCACTGGAATCCACCCACCTGCTCCTCCAAGACCCCCACACTGGTTCTGTTTCCCTTCCTGGCCTGCTTGCCCCCCCTGGGCATGCTGACACCCCTAAGGTCCTGGACTGGGGAGCCCTGCACCCCCCCGGGGCCCTCCCAGGGCCTCCACACGAGCTGCTCCTCACCTTACCCAGGTTCTGCCCCCACCCTCGCTGTGGTTCTGAGGACACTCCTCCAAGCTCAATGAGGGCCTGTGGTGGCAGTGGTGATGCCCAGCTCCCCTCCACCTGGGGCCTGTCCCTGTGATTCCCCTGACCTCATGCACTGCAGCCACACAGGAATAAAGTAATGAAGAGTCCTGCTGACCTCAGCGTGTGCCTGTCTGTGCCTCAGTTTCCCTGGCCATGGAATAAAAAGGAGCAGCCAGTCCATGGGGTTCTAAGCATTGCCAGTTGCCTTAACTGTCAGAGGAGGGAAACTGAGGCCCAGAGAAGGGGCTGGGATCAGAGGAGGGAAACTGAGGCCCAGGGTAGGGGTTGGGACCAGAGGAGGGAAACTGAGGCCCTGCGGAGGGGCTGGGATCAGAGGAGGGAAACTGAGACCCAGGGTAGGGGTTGGGACCAGAGGAGGGAAACAGAGGCCCAGGGAAGTGTCAGGGACCAGAAGAGGGAAACTAAGGCTCAGAGAAGGGAAACTGAGGCCCAGGGGAGGGGCTGGGATCAGAAGAGGGAAACTGACACTCAGAGGAGGGAAACTGAGGCCCAGGGGAGGGGCTAGGACCAGAAGAGTGAAACTGAGGCCCAGGGTAGGGGCTGGGACTAGAGGAGGGAAACTGAGTCCAGAGGAGGGAAACTGAAGCCCAGCAGAAGTGCTGGGATCAGAGGAGGGAAACTGAGGCCCAGGGGAGGGGCTGGGATCAGAAGAGGGAAACTGACACTCAGAGGAGGGAAACTGAGGCCCAAAGGAGGTGTTAGGTGCAGAGGAGGGAAACTGAGGCTCAGGGTGGGGAAACAGGCCTCTCGGCGTGGTGAGGGCCCAGGTGTGTGAGCTCACAGCCATGTCTCCGTGGGTCCCCTCCCCCTCCTGCCCAGGCCAGTGCCGGGAAAGGCCTCACCGGAAGGTGGACTCCAAGGAGCAGCCCTCCCCAGCCGGAGGTGCAGGCCCTTCCCGGGAAGCTGGGCCCTTAACCCGGGCGGGGGGCAGTGGGCCTGGTGAATGGGCGGCTTCCCAGCCCCTGACCCCACTTCCTGCAGGTGGGGAGGGGCCGCTGGGCGTGCCCAGCTCTCCTGGGCCCTGTTCTGCGCCCGCCTCGCCGGGTCATGTGTGGTGATCATGCTGCTCACACTCCCCGAGTGCCGAGTCCTCACATCCACAGGCTCGGGGGGGGCAGGGACACAACACGGCTGGGGTGTCCCACAGGACAGGGCGGGTGGGTGGATACAGGAAGGAGGGTTAGGGTTCCCAGAGGCAGAGGGACCCGCGGGTACAAAGGGGCAAAGGTGGGGAAGGCGGGACTGAGGGAGACACACAGAGACAGAGTGAGGAAGAGACAAGGCAGAGACACAGGGATGGAGAGTCAGAGGTAGGACAGAGGCCTGAGGGTCTGGGAGGACTGCAAGACCCCTGGCGCCTCAGTCCTAGTCTCACAGCAAGGCCACTGCCAGCAGGGACTGCACAGCATCTTCCACAGCCATGGGGACCCCCTTCTGTCCTGGGGAGACTTGAGACCGCCCCCAACATTGCTCCCCTTCCCGGCATTGTCCTCAGCAGCCTCCAGCAGGAAGCCCCCTTCCCATGGAGGGTCCCAGCCGTCCCACCAGCCCCAGACCCCACATCCTGGCCTTCCTGTCCACAGCAGCTGAGGGGGTGCTCCAGATGATGTGGCCCTGAGGGAAGGGGCCGTGGGGGCGCTGGTGTCCAGGACTGAGCACGCCCCCAGGCCCTGACAGACCCTTCTTGGCCCAGCTGGCCCTCCTGGCTCCCACCCACAGGTCAGTTTTGGGGTCTTCATGGTTTTCTTTAAAGTGAAGACCCCCATTAGGGCAGGGCCTTGTTGGGCAAGGCTTGAACCCAGTCCAAGGACCCCAGACCTGAGGGTTTCAAGGGGAGTGGGGGAGGAATGAGACTGATCGAGGCTGTGTGTGGGGGGTGTTCAGTAGGTAACCAGGTGCGTGCTTGTGTGCATGCATGTGTGTGCATGTGTGTCTGCATGTATGTGCGTGCATGTGTGAATATATAATGCATGTGCACATACACATGTGTGTGCATATATGTATGCATGTGTCTGCATGTATGTGCGTGCATGTGTGCACATGTGGTGTTTTAGCCATCACACCTGCGCTGGGGGTGGGTCTGGCTCCCATAGTGGGTTTTGTGCGAGTCGAGACCCTCCCTGCAGGCTGGCCGAGGTGATCATGCCCTGGGCCTCGGCAGGGCTGACTGGCCTCCCTGGGGTCTGTGACTGCCTGGTGAGGGGCTGGGGCCAAGTGCTTGGTCCCTAGCAACCCCCAGGGACCAGGAAACTGGACATGGCTCCCCAGGGGGTGATGCTGGTGTGGTGGTCTCTAGGGCAGCCCCACCTGAGCCGATAGGAGGGGTCTGGGCATCCATGGGGCAAGAGGCAAGATGGTGAGAGCCGGCTTGGGGCTGGCTCTGCCCAGGGAGAGGTGGGGCTTGCAGTCCTTCCATGCGCTCGGATGCCTTGGTGTTTCCGGGGCATCTCCAGGCTTACCCCAGCTTCCACAGCCCCTTCTCACGGGTTAAAGGGCCACTCTAGCTGCTTCGAAGACGGGGGCCAAGCCAGGAGCGGCACAGGCCTCTCCCAAAGGTGCAGGAGCCTAGAGGGGCACAAGCCACCCGAGCATGACATTGAAAGACACTGAACTGTCTATGAACTGCACTCATGGGGTTTGAGACTAGAGAGCTGGCACTGCCACGTCGTGAACACTGTAAAAGGCACTGAACTGTTTCTTAACAAGCCCTGCCTTGCCGGGCATGGCAGCTCACCCCTGTAATCCCAGCACTTTGGGAGGCCGAGGCTGGTGGATCATGAGTTCGAGACCAGCCTGGCCAACATGGTGAAACCCCATTTCTACTAAAAATAGAAAAATTGGCCGGGCATGGTGGTGCACGCCCAGCTACTCGGGAGGCTGAGACTGGAGAATCGGTTGAACCCGGGAGGCGGAGGCTGCAGTGAGTCAAGATCGCGCCATTGCACTCCAGCCTGGGCGACAGGGTGAGTGAGGCGCTGTCCCAAAAAACAAAAACGAAAATAACCCTGTTTTCCAGCTGGGCTCGGCTCTAAGGCATTGCAGGCGAGTCCAATTCCACCGCAGCTCCGTGTGTGAAAGCAGGGACAGGGTACTGGGACCAGGGCGGGCCTTCACTCCACAGGGCAGTTTCATTTCACTCAGTACGAGCACCGAAGGGAAACGGTGCGGCCGGCAGGCTCCCGAGTGGGCTTCAGCATCGCCCGGGGGGGGGGTCCACGCCTCCCGCTGTCTGCAGAACCGTCCCAGCCCTCACGGATCACGAGGTCGGGAGTTGAGACCATCGTGGCCAACACGGTGAAACCCCGTCTTTACTAAAAACACAAAAATGAGCCGGGTGTGGAGGCAGGGACAGGAGAATCACTTGAACCTGAGAGGCGGAGGTTGCAGTGAGCCGAGACTGTGCCGCTGCACTCCAGCCTGGGCGACAGAGCGAGGCTCCGTCTCCAGAAAAAAAAAACCAAAAAGAACGGTCTCAGTTCTGCTGCACCCACGGAGCAACAACAGCTCTGTCGCCCCCACCCTGGCTGGATCCCGTCCACTACACTCTGTGGGTTTGCTTCCTCCAGGAGCCACTCAGCCTCTCCAGAGAATGAGATGACCGGTGGCCGTCCCTGGCCTCAGTACTCCAGGGTCCCAGGTGCGGGGCCAGAGTGTGAGGGGGTGGCCAGGAAGGGGCTGTGGCGGGCGGTGTGGGCCCTGGACCAGCGCTAGACTCGCCCTCTGTGTGGGTGCAGACGCAGCAGCGCCCCGACTCCGGGTTGGTGGCCTGAGGAAGGCGTCCTGTGCAGGGCTCTGTGGGTCCCGGGCCCCGTAACAGAAGCCACATCCCCTCATCTCCGGGTCAGGGCTCCGGGCTCTCCTCCTCCCCACGCTCACCAGCGCAGCCCCTTACCTAGCCCTTCTGGAGCTCCTGTCCTGCTGGCTGGGAGGGAGTGGGGTCAGCGATGCCCAGACTGGCTCCGGCACTCCCTGGCCACCCTCCCTGGGCCTCAGTTTCCCCCGCTTTATGGCAGAGGCTGGTGTGCCGATAAACTGGGTGGCTTTGACAGCAGCTCCTGGGCGGGTTCCACAAACTGCTGGCCAGGGATGGGCTCCCCCTGGGCCCCCAAATCCCCACCCATCCCCTGCAGCACAGCCTGGAGGCAGAAAATTCCAGCAAGATGCCCCCATGGTGTGGTGCATGCTGGGACCCCAGGCCCTGGGCGACCTGCAGTGTGTGGAGAGGGCTCGGTGGGGCGTCGGGAAGCGTGGGGGTCTGCAGACACAGCAGGGCAGAGGCCGAGGGGTCACGTGTGTTCCGTTCCTGGCCCCGCCGAGGCCCTGGGCAGGATTCAGAGTGGCTTCTCCACCAGCCCCTGATGTGGGAGCCCGAGGGTCTGCCCAAGGCCCCCTGGAGCTCCTGCCACCCCGAGAGGAGCTGAGGTCGTCGTCATGGTGCCAGTGCGTCTGTCCCGGCTTCAGGGCCTTTGCGTCTGCCGTCCAGGCCTGGGAACTCCTGCCTGACACCCGGTGGCCCCCGGACCCCTGGGGTCTGTGCTGAGAGGCTATTGGGCCCACATGGGGGTGAACGTGGGAGCCGATGCAGACGCCTCCTCCATAAGGCGTGCTGGGCCACGAGGGACCCACACTTCCTGCCCGCTCCAGGCTGTTTCTCCTGACGGAGCCTGCACACCTGACTAGATGAGGATGGTGCCTGGTGAGCTTTTCCAGAGCCCCCACTGGCCACCCAGTGCTGACATCCAGCAGGCCATGGGAAGGTGCAAGGAATGGAGCAGGACAAGCCATCCACACACGTGGGGCCCTGGTGGACCTGGGATCCTGACACACAGCCAAATCCTCTCCGGGGAAACTGAGGCACAGAGAAGGAACGGCTTCTTCTCCGTCCCTGTTGCTTCACCTTGAAACCTCAGTTGCTATCTCTTCCAGGGAGCCCCCAGCGTCCCGAGGAACGCTGTAAGGAGCTGTCAGCCCTTCCAGGCCAGCCCCCGCAGCCCCACTCCACCTCCTGTCTCAGCGCCTTCACCGGCACTCGGCTTGCCTGCTGCATTCCCGCCAGGGCCCAGGGCTCATCTGACTCCCAGCCTTGGGGCCTCAGCACCTTCCCGACACAGGGCTCCTCTGAGGGCCTGCCCTGAACGCTTCAGATCTCCAGGGCCACCCTGGACGGCCCGGGGTGGAGAAGAGGGCCCCACTCTATGGCCTCCCATCCTGCTGGACCTTCCTACTCAGCACCAGGACACCTGCTGGCGGCTTCCTATCTGGCTCCCCATGAATGGGAAGCGTCTGAGGGCAGAGCTGTGCCTAGAACTGGAAGAAGTGACTCCCCTCAGCAGGAGGGCCCTAAGACCCCCAGTCCAGGGCCTCCATCCTCTCCATGGCTCCATGCTCCATGGGGGCCCCCTCCTGAAATCTAAGACACCTGGGCTGGGGCCTCCATCCTCTCTGCGGTTCTGCACTGCACCCCCTGAAATCTGGTTTTATTTTTTTTTTTTGAGACAGAGTCTCACTGTCACCAGGCGCTAGGCTGGAGTGCAATGGCACAATGTCGGCTCACTGTGAGGGAATCTGTGGGGATCGCTCCCATGTGAGGCCCCTAGGAAATGGGCCTCGCCATACGGTGAGCTTGAGCCCAGACACAGATCCCTGGTTGGGGGAGTTGAGCTGAGGGAAAGCAGAAACCGAGAGAGGAACTATATGTTATTCAAAATAATTAACAGACCTTACTGTATGGATATGAGGACTTGGGAGGCATTGTGACCACTTTCGGCTCCTTATGGTTTATTGCTTGATTGTGTTCATTTTGGACCCTTACTACCTTCATTGTAAAATATTAACTTAAGTATTTACACTTGGTAACTTACTTACCGTAACTTACTGGGTGTAACTGTAACTTGCTTACCTTGACCTATTGGGCATAACCTACTTACTGAAAGTAACCTACTTACTGGGCGTAACTTAGTGGGCGTAACTTGCTTATTGTAACTTAAGTACGTTGATCTGGCGTAAACAACTTTGACTTCAGAAAAGTATATAAGGAAACATATTGCAAAAATAAAACTGCTGCTTGGACATAGCCTAAGCCAGCCCTCCAGACTCCGCTTTTCTCTTTTCTTTCACTTCCTCGCACTCTCTCCCTCAGGTTGAACGAGACATCTACGTTGGCGGTCTCGGGGACTCCTGCAGGTCGGTGGTCCTCTGGCAGACGTGCCGGACCTGAACATCACTGCAACCTCTACCTCCTGGGTTCAAGCAATTCTCCTGCCTCAGCCTCCTGAGTAGCTGGGATTACAGGCACGCGCCACCGTGCCCAGCTAATTTTTGCATTTTTAGTAGAGACGGGGTTTCACCATGTTGGCCCGGCTGGTCTTGAACTCCTGACTACAGGTGATCTGCCCACCAGGGCCTCCCAAAGTGCTGGGATAACAGGCGTGAGCCACCGCGCCCGGCTTTGTTTTATGTTTGATATGATTTATTTTACTTACTACCAACCATTTCTTTTCTTTTTTTTGAGATAGAGTCTCCCTCTTGTTACCCAGGCTGGAGTGCAATGGCGCCATCTCGGCTCACCGCAACTTCCGCCTCCTGGGTTCAGGCAATTCTCCTGCCTCAGTCTCCCGAGTAGCTGGGATTACAGGCACGCGCCACCATGCCCAGCTAATTTTTGTATTTTTAGTAGAGACGGGGTTTCACCATGTTGACCAGGATGGTCTCGATCTCTTGACCTCGTGATCCACTCGCCTCGGCCTCCCAAAGTGCTGGGAATACAGGCTTGAGCCACCACGCCCAGCCACTACCACCCATTTCTTTTCTTCTTTCTACCGTGGCCGCTGGACGTAGGGCTCCCGCTGGCTTCCGGGGATGAAGGACAGGGCTCGGGCCTCTCTCAGCAGCGGGCAGGGGCTGAGCTTGGGGCCAAATGCGGGTGTTCGCCCTGGACTGCGGCGCTCCCGGGCCTGGACTTCAGGCAGAGCCGCAACCTCGTGGCCTCTGAGCACGACTCTCCCCACCCAGCCCGCGCTGAGCCCTGGACACCCCGAGCGCACTCTCCGTCCCTGCCCCTCGCCCCCAAGGGGCTCGGAGGGTGGTTCTCACCGGCGGCCATCCCGACCCCAGGAAACACAAACCCTCACCTGGCATCTGGGGACATGTGCGGTTGTCAGGACCGGGAAGGGGGAGACCCTGGCCTCGAACTAGGGGGAGGCCGGGTACGCGGCCGGCTCCGCCCCCGAGGATGGCGCCAGGCGTGTCGGGCCCCGGGCGTGGGAAGGCGCGGGAAAGCGTGGGAAAGCGCGGGAAGGCGTGGGAAAGCGCGGGCCGAGGGCTGCGGGTCCGGGCCTGGCTGTAAGCAGGGCGCGCAGGGGCCGGGCCCAGTCACCCCCAGGCCCGACGGCCGCACGTAGCCCGTTTGGGGCGCAGGACACCGGGCTGCACCCGGCCCGGTCGGGAAAGGTGTGGGGCTGGGCCACCGCCCTCGGCTCTGCACGAAGGGCAGGTCAGGGGTCAGAGGTCGGAGGTCGGGGTCCCGGTCGGGGCCGCGCTCGGCACTCACAGCGCCACGGTCCCTGCCGACGACCTTCTCGACCCGCGGGGCGCAGCGGACCAGCCGCTCCTCCTCCTTTTCGCGGGTCCCACTCTCTGCTCCTGTCCCCCCCACCCCCGCCCACAGCTCCCGGCAGCCCCCGCGCCAACGCGTAACTGGACCACAACTCCCGCCATGCCCCGGGGCGCAGGGCGCCGGGACCCGTGGCCCACAAGGCTTTGCGCGGCGGCGCGGCCCCTCTAGCCTGCGGTCCTCAGAGCTCGCTGCTGGCTTCGCCACGTGGTCAGTCTCCTCGCGTTCCCACGGGGGGGCGCCCGGGCTGCGCTTGTCTGGGGCGCCTGACGCCCGACGCCCGACGCCAGTCACGGCAGCGCCAGCGACCGGGGCGCCCGTTAGTTCAACACAGATTTGTTTGTTGTTATTTATTTATTTGACACGGAGTCACGCTCTGTCCCCAGGCCGGAGTGCAGTGGCGCGATCTCGGCTCGCCGCAACGTCCGCCTCCCGGGTTCAAGCGATTCTCCTGCCTCAGCCTCCTGAGTAGCTGGGACCACAGGCGCGCGCCACCACGCTTGGCTTATTATTATTATTTTTAATTTTTTAATTTTTTTTTTTTTTGTATTTTTAGTAGAGACGGGGTTTCACCATGCATGCCAGGCTGGTCTCGAACTCCTGACCTCAGGTGATCCACCCGCCTTGGCCTCCCAAAGTGCTGGGAATCACAGACGGGAGCCACCGCGCCCCGCATTTTTTTTTTTTGGTATTTTTAGTAGAGATGGAATTTCGCAACGTTGGCCAGGCTGGTCTCGAACTCGTGACCTCAGGTGATCCATCTGCCTCACTCTTGTTATTATTTTGACACAGGATCTCACTTTGTGGCCCAGGCTGGAGAGCAGCGGCGCGATCTCGGCTCACCGCCACCTCTTCCTCCCAAGAGCTCAAGCGATCCTCCCGCCTCGACCTCCCAAAGTGTTGGTGCCACAGGCACGCGTCACGCGCCGGCCAGCGGATCTTTATTGAGTGCCTGCTGCATGCCAAGCGTTGTTTCCGGTGCCAAGGAGACAGCAGAGTGCAAGGTGGGCAGACCTCAGCCCCCGGGTCTGCTGCGGGGGTCGGGGTGGTGGAGGGGAGGCCCCGGCTGCGTCGGTCTCCTCCCGTTCCCACTGTGGGGCGCCGGGGCTGCTCACATTCTAGGGAGCGGATGGGAAGAGAGACCCAAAGCCGGGCTAATTATTATGCCACGAACCCGGGCCTGATCCGGGCTAATTATTATGCCACGAACCCGGGCCTGATCCGGGCTCATTATTATGCCACGAACCCGGGCCTGATCCGGGCTCATTATTATGCCACGAACCTGTACCTGATCCGGGCTAATTATTATGCCACGAACCCGGGCCTGATCCGGGCTCATTATTATGCCACGAACCCGGGCCTGATCCGGGCTAATTATTATGCCACGAACCCGGGCCTGATCCGGGCTCATTATTATGCCACGAACCTGTACCTGATCCGGGCTAATTATTATGCCACGAACCTGTACCTGATCCGGGCTAATTATTATGCCACGAACCCGGGCCTGATCCGGGCTCATTATTATGCCACGAACCCGGGCCTGATCCGGGCTAATTATTATGCCACGAACCTGTACCTGATCCGGGCTAATTATTATGCCACGAACCCGGGCCTGATCCGGGCTCATTATTATGCCACGAACCCGGGCCTGATCCGGGCTCATTATTATGCCACGAACCTGTACCTGATCCGGGCTAATTATTATGCCACGAACCCGGGCCTGATCCGGGCTCATTATTATGCCACGAACCCGGGCCTGATCCGGGCTCATTATTATGCCACGAACCTGTACCTGATCCGGGCTAATTATTATGCCACGAATCCGGGCCTGATCCGGGCTCATTATTATGCCACGAACCCGGGCCTGATCCGGGCTAATTATTATGCCACGAACCTGTACCTGATCCGGGCTAATTATTATGCCACGAACCCGGGCCTGATCCGGGCTAATTATTATGCCACGAACCCGGGCCTGATCCGGGCTCATTATTATGCCACGAACCTGTACCTGATCCGGGCTAATTATTATGCCACGAACCCGGGCCTGATCCGGGCTAATTATTATGCCACGAACCCGGGCCTGATCCGGGCTCATTATTATGCCACGAACCCGGGCCTGATCCGGGCTAATTATTATGCCACGAACCCGGGCCTGATCCGGGCTAATTATTATGCCACGAACCCGGGCCTGATCCGGGCTCATTATTATGCCACGAACCCGGGCCTGATCCGGGCTCATTATTATGCCACGAACCTGTTCCTGATCCGGGCTAATTATTATGCCACGAACCCGGGCCTGATCCGGGCTCATTATTATGCCACGAACCCGGGCCTGATCCGGGCTCATTATTATGCCACGAACCTGTACCTGATCCGGGCTAATTATTATGCCACGAACCTGTACCTGATCCGGGCTAATTATTATGCCACGAACCCGGGCCTGATCCGGGCTAATTATTATGCCACGAACCCGGGCCTGATCCGGGCTCATTATTATGCCACGAACCCGGGCCTGATCCGGGCTCATTATTATGCCACGAACCTGTACCTGATCCGGGCTAATTATTATGCCACGAACCTGTACCTGATCCGGGCTAATTATTATGCCACGAACCCGGGCCTGATCCGGGCTCATTATTATGCCACGAACCCGGGCCTGATCCGGGCTAATTATTATGCCACGAATCCGGGCCTGATCCGGGCTAATTATTATGCCACGAACCCGGGCCTGATCCGGGCTCATTATTATGCCACGAACCTGTACCTGATCCGGGCTAATTATTATGCCACGAACCCGGGCCTGATCCGGGCTCATTATTATGCCACGAACCTGTACCTGATCCGGGCTAATTATTATGCCACGAACCCGGGCCTGATCCGGGCTCATTATTATGCCACGAACCCGGGCCTGATCCGGGCTCATTATTATGCCACGAACCTGTACCTGATCCGGGCTAATTATTATGCCACGAATCCGGGCCTGATCCGGGCTAATTATTATGCCACGAACCCGGGCCTGATCCGGGCTCATTATTATGCCACGAACCCGGGCCTGATCCGGGCTCATTATTATGCCACGAACCCGGGCCTGATCCGGGCTCATTATTATGCCACGAACCCGGGCCTGATCCGGGCTCATTATTATGCCACGAACCCGGGCCTGATCCGGGCTCATTATTATGCCACGAACCCGGGCCTGATCCGGGCTCATTATTATGCCACGAACCCGGGCCTGATCCGGGCTCATTATTATGCCACGAACCCGGGCCTGATCCGGGCTCATTATTATGCCACGAACCCGGGCCTGATACCAAGGCAGTGTGCGCTGAGAAATGACGGACCACTGGCTCTCCACTGCGGCGCACGCCGCCCCCTGCTTGGTAAATGCTTCCATCACTGCTGCGAGCGTGAGCGAACCAGCAGTGCCCAGATCCCTGCAGACTTCACGGTATCATCAGCTCCAGCCGCCACTGCACTGGCAGAGGGGTGCAAAGTGCTGCTGGACAAAGGAAAAGGCAGGGAAGGGGGACAGGGGTGCGGATGGGCAGGTTTTAGAATCAAATCGGTGGTCCAGATAGGCCGGGCGCCGTGGCTCACGCCTGTAATCCCAGCACTTTGGGAGGCCGAGGCGGGTGGATCCCGAGGTCAAGAGATCGAGACCATCCTGGTCAACATGGTGAAACCCCGTCTCTACTAAAAATACAAAAAAATTAGCTGGGCATGGTGGCGCGTGCCTGTAATCCCAGCTACTGTGGAGGCTGAGGCGGGAGAATTGCTTGAACCCAGGAGGCGGAGGTTGCGATGAGCCGAGATCGCGCCATTGCACTCCAGTCTGGGGAACAAGAGCGAAACTCCGTCTCAAAAAAAAAAAAAAAAATACAAAAATTGGGTGCAGTGGCTCACGCCTGTAATCCCAGCACTTTAGGAGGCCGAGGCAGTGGATCACTTGAGGTCTGGAGTTTGAGACCAGCCTGGGCAACATGGTGAAATCCCATCTGTTAAAAAATACAAAAATTAGGCAGGTGTGGTGGCATGTGCCTGTAATCCCAGTTACTTGGCAGGCTGAGGCAGGAGAACCATTTGGACCCGGGAGGCGGAGGTTGCAGTGAGCTGAGGTCTGGCCACTGCATTCCCAGCCTGGGGGACAGTGAGACTGCCTCTCAGAAAAAGAAAAAAAAAATCAAAAAATTAATCAATTAATCGGTGGTCCAAGGAGGATCCTGGAGATGGAGAGATTTGAGCAGCGCCTTGCAGGAGGCGAAGGGGTTGGCAGCCAAACCTGGGACAGGGTGTACCAGGCAGAAGGCAGGGTGAGTGCAGAGGCTGAGGCCAGAGGGACCGACAAGCCAGAGAGGGGAGAAAGGACCGGCGTGTGTACCACCTTGTAGGCGACAGCAGAGCCCGCTGCGACCCCTCTGCAGCCCCCCAAGTCCTCGGAAGACAAGCCCTTCCTTCCTCTGAAGTTCGGTGTCCTCGTCTGTCTCATGGGGACTTGCCAGGTGTGGGCTGGTGCCCAGTAGAGCCTGAGAGCTGGTCCTGTCCTCACAGTCCCACGGGGACAGCGGGCTCTTTCTGGATGAGGAGGGAGGGCAGCTGGCAGGTCCTCTGTGTCCTCGGGGGAAGAACAAGCCTCCGTTGTTTGAGCCTCTGGAACAAAGGGGCGGGCGGCAGCAGATCGCGTGAGTCTGAGTCGGGTCTGGTCGATGGACAAAGGACAGCATTGAGCGCCCTCGGGGAAGTGGGAGGTGGCAGATCACAGAGGCCGGGAGCGTGAGCTGACCCTGGACAGGCCGGCGGCAGCACCCGCAAACACCTGGCCTCCCCTCTCCTGTCCCCCGGGTGCCAGGGACAGAAACAGCCGGTCGTCCGTGGAACCCGGCCTTCTGGGAGGTGCCTCCCAGCTGCCGCAGCCTCACCTGCAGCCTGAGGATGTGTTTTTAGAAAAGAATGGTGGGCGGCCGGGCACGGTGGCTCAAGCCTGTAATCCCAGAACTTTGGGAGGCTGAGGTGGGCGGATCACCTGAGGTCAGGAGTTTGACACCAGCCTGAACAACAGGGTGAAACCCCGTCTCTACTAAAAATACAAAAATTAGCCAGACATGGTGGCGCGCGCCTGTAGTCCCAGCTACTCAGGAGGCTGAGGCAGGAGAATCGCTTGAACCTGGGAGGCGGAGGTTGTGATGAGCAGAGATTGCGCCACTGCACTCCAGCCTGGGTGACAGATCGAGACTCTGCCTCAAAAAAAAAAAAAAGGGAAAACAGTGGTGGGAACTTGGGGTCGGTCCAGTGGCCGACACCTGCCATCCAGTGCTTGGGAGGCTGAGGTGGGAGGATCGCTTGAGCCCAGGACGCCGAGGCTGCATCATGTTTCCCATCATCCTCTGATCACCCCTGTCCATCCTCAGTGAGCAGTGATGGGGCCACTGCACTCCAGCCCGGGTGGCAGAGGGAGGCCTCGTCTCCGGAGCAGCTGCAGCACTGATGTCCGTCATCCCAGCTATCGGCGAGTTTCAGTCCACGCACTTCAGCGGGTGCTCACCGTGCACCTGTGCTGGGAGGCTGCATTCAGGATGCCTCGGGCGTAGTGGGGGTCCGGCCACCCAGCTCCTGCCTCTTCATGTTTCCATGTGCATGCGTGCGTGTTCACCTGCCCGTGTGCTGTGCAGGTGTGTGTGTGTGTGTTCACCTGCCTGTGTGCTGTGCAGGTGTGTGTGTGTGTTCATCTGCCCGTGTGCTGTGCAGGTGTGTGTGTGTTCACCTGCCCGTGTGCTGTGCAGGTGTGTGTGTGTGTTCATCTGCCTGTGTGCTGTGCAGGTGTGTGTGTGTGTTCATCTGCCCATGTGCTGTGCAGGTGTGTGTTCACCTGCCCGTGTGCTGTGCAGGTGTGTGTGTGTGTGTGTTCACCTGCCCGTGTGCTGTGCAGGTGTGTGTGTGTGTTCATCTGCCTATGTGCTGTGCAGGTGTGTGTGTGTGTGTTCATCTGCCCGTGTGCTGTGCAGGTGTGTGTGTGTGTTCATCTGCCCGTGTGCTGTGCAGGTGTGTGTGTGTTCACCTGCCCGTGTGCTGTGCAGGTGTGTGTGTGTGTGTTCACCTGCCCGTGTGCTGTGCAGGTGTGTGTGTGTGTGTGTGTTCACCTTCTTGTGAGCTGTGCGGGCATGTGTGTGTCTCTGTGTATGAGCCTGCCTGTGTGTGCCTCGTCTGTGCGTACACCCACGTGGTGTAAACATGCAGGCGTGTGTAAATGCATGTGCGTGTGGTGTGTGTAAATGGAAGAGCACAGCAGGGACCCTCTGCAGACAACGCTAGGTCCTCCTCTAGGCTCAGGTCACACCTCCCATTCCAGGACCCCCTCCCTCCCCCCCTCCTCACCCCACAGCATCTGGGAAAATCTTGTGAGTTCTGGCTCCAAGAGAGGCCTGGAACGCACTCGCCTCTGACCATCCCACGGCAGCCCCTGGCCCAGGCCCCGTGGTACCCCATGCGGTGGGTCGCCTCCTCAGATCTTCCCTACGCCGCCACCTTCCTATCCTCAGTGGATTCCTTCACACTGAAGTCAGGCTGAGCCCTCCTCTGCTTGGCAGAGACCTCCTCCACGGCTCCCACCTGGCTCAGGGTGAAACCCAGTGTTCTCTCGGTGTTCACGGCACTGCACGACCTGCGGGGTCAGCCCCCGCCCTCTCTCCCCCCTCTCTCCCCCCTCTCTCCCCTCCTCACTTTGCTGCAGCCAGCCTGACGTCACTGCTCCTCCACCTCCTCGCCAGGTGCCGTCCTGCCCCAGGGCCTTTGCACGGCAATGCCCTTCCCAGACACCCCTTAGATCTCTGCACAGCTGGCATCCCTTAGAGGCCTCACTTCTTTTTTTCTTTTTTTTAGACAGAGTCAGGCTGGAGTGCAATGGTGCCATCTCAACTCACTGCAACTTCCGCCTCCCGGGTTCAAGTAATTCTCCTGCCTCAGCCTCTGGAGCAGCTGGGAGTACAGGCATGCGCCACTGAGCCCAGTTAATTTATGTATTTTTAGTAGAGATGGGGTTTCACCATGTTGGCAAGGATGGTCTCTATCTCTTGACCTCATGATCTGCCCACCTTGGCCTCCCAAAGTGCTGGGATGACAGGTGCACCCGGACAAAGGTTCTCACGTCTTTCAGGCGTTCGCTAATGTTTCACTTCTTTGGTGGGTGGGTGGAGGGGCCTCCCAGGCCACTCTGCCCTGAAGTTTCATTTCTGTGATCGTGTCCCTGCACTCCGGCCTGAGCACAGAATGAGATCCTGTCTCAAAAATAAATAAAAGAGAGACGTGTGTGTTCACCGCATTATTTGCTGTTGTCCAGAGCTGGAAGCCGCCCGGAAGCTCTGAGTAAATCATGGCATCTTCGGGGGATGGAGCATTGCCCAGCAACAGAAGTGAGTGATGGACAGCGGTCGTCAACAGCAGCACCAACCTCACAGGCAGGGGGAGGCGTCTCAGGAGTGCCCCGTCCCATTCCTGTGCTGCACACAAGAGGCAAAGCAGGGCCTGGCTTTAGGGGCAGGATGGCGGCTGACGGGTGGAGGAATGAAGGTGGCCTCAGGGGTGCCAGGGGCTTCCAGGGGGTCTGGAGGCGTTGTGCATCTGAGAGCTGGCCCCACGGGGGTGATTGGTCCCAGAGCTTCCGGGGAGCTGTGGGAGGAAGCGCGGACCGCCGCTCTCTGCTGCAGGGATCCCACAGGCTCTGTGGACATGAGGGCAGGATGGCTCTCCGGGTGAGGTGGTCCTGGCTGCCGCAGGGTGCCCGGTGGCATCTCTGCCCCCACTCGCTCCATGCCAAGAGCTCCCAGGTGTGACAACACAGATGTCCTTGGACATTGCCCAGAGTCCCGACGGGGTGGTCACCTAGGCTGGGAACTCCGGTCTGTTGATTTTAGCCTGACATGATCTCATAGCTCCATGTCTTTGGAACAAGGGTGAGCCTGCACGTGCCAGGGAGTGGTGAGGGGCTCAGGCGGGTGGACGTCTGCGGTGAGGAGCCTGTGCTAGACGAGGTGGGAGCCGGGACAGGCATCTGTGTAGGTCTCCTCATGGTCACGTCGGAAGAGCTGGCTCTGGCAGAGATGTAGAGTGGCCTTTTGGGGCTAGGAGAGGCATCCCGGGGATCCCCGAGGAGGTTGGTGTGGATGTGGAAGGATGATGGGGCCCTGGACTGGGGCGTGGCCATGGGCAGGAGAGCAGTGGCCAGATGCTGGGTGGGCTTGGGATCCAGGACTGGGTGCTGGGTGTGGGCACAGGAGTCAGGAAGCAGCCCCAGGGGCTTTGGTCCAGGTAAGCAGGGGTCTGGAGGTGCCATTTGCAGGCGTGGGGGAAGGCTGGAAGAGGATGTTTGCATGATAACAGGGGCCAGATGCCCTTGTCCTCAGAGCCTCCCTGTGGACTCAGGCTGACACATGCCCGTTTACAGAATAGGAGACGGATGCCCAGTGGCGGAGTGACTCACCAGGGGTCACACAGTGCCTGATCCAGAAACCTTGGTTCATGGGCGGAGGAGGAGGTCTGGCTGGGAAATTCACCGCAGGAAATCGCCCAGGAGCAAAACCGGGTGCCCGTCGAGGGGCGGGCCTGGGGCAGCACAGGAAGGTGGCCGGGGGAGGGGGTGATGTGGGGCCCAGAGTGGCAGGCGTGGGTCGGCAGGACGGGGCCCGCGGGGGCCAGGAGCATTCTGGACTTGAGTCCTGGGTTCACTGCCTGCTAGCTTCGTGACCTCTGCTTCTGTCGATGGTGAAGGTCATGGACCCGGTTGCGGGGTGGCACCTGTGGGCACCGTCCTGGCCGCAGTGCCATTCTGCAGTAGAGTATAACCTGCCCCGTGCCAGGGTGCCCTGCTGACCTCACCCTGTACACAGTGGGCGATTAATAAGTGCCCATCTACGAAGGCAGTGTTGGGAATAGATAGATGCTGGGTGCCACAAGGAAAAATCAGCCCTGAGACAAAGGATCTCTCAGCAACGCGGTTTTTGCTTTCCGGGCTGCAGGAAGGGGACCCTCACTAGCCGTCTTACCACGAGAGTACAATGAACAGAGGAAAAGCAGACACATTTATCCCTTACGCATTTGGGGTCGTCCTGACTGCTGTGTCTGATCTCCGTGGTCCGGAGCCAGACCTCACGATCTAAACTAAAACCTGATTGGCTGACAACTTAAAACTTTTCTAAACAGGTAAGAGCCATGGAGAGCTGGGACACGCCTGTGAGCACAAGGATATCCTGGTTACAGCACAAGGACGTAGAATGTACTACGTGCCCGCGAGCATGGCGTGTCTGACGGCTACGTAGGACAGGGCTTAACAGAATCATTAGCACACTTATTCTTTAACAAGAAAGGGAACTTTTTTTTTTTTTTTTGAGACAGAATTTCGCTCTTGTTACCCAGGCTGGAGTGCAATGGCGCGATCTCGGCTCACCGCAACCTCCGCCTCCTGGGTTCAGGCAATTCTCCTGCCTCAGCCTCCCGAGTAGCTGGGATTACAGGCACGCGCCACCGTGCCCAGCTAATTTTTTGTATTTTTAGTAGAGACGGGGTTTCACCATGTTGACCGGGATGGTCTCGATCTCTTGACCTTGTGATCCACCCGCCTCGGCCTCCCAAAGTGCTGGGATTGCAGGCTTGAGCCACCGCGCCCGGCCAAGAAAGGGAACTTTTAAAAGGAACTTTACTACTCTCCACAGACAGCACGTTGCCATCTTGAAACCATTGACATTTGGGGGGCCTTCTCTCAGGGGGAACAGCATTATGCGTCTCCAGCCACTAGATGCCCTCAGCACCCCTGGTACTGGCAGCCAGAAATGTCCCCAGACACAGCCGAGAGTCCCCCAGGGGCAGCAATGCCCCTGCTTCAGTGCCACTGGACCAAGGAAGCCCCTCTAGGCTCCAGTGCTCTAGGCTGGAGCTGCCCGCCACGGCATCCACAGGCCCCAGGTAAACGCTGGGACATTTGAGCTATGGGCATGCCACACTGAGCACGGCGAATTCAAAACACTCCAGATGGGGCAGACAGTGTGAACAAAAGAATGTGAAATCTCTCACCTATCATTTTCATACGCGGAAATGACACTATTTTGGATATAGGTGTTAATAAGATCTGTTACTAGAATTAATTTCACTCGTTTCTCTTTTTTTGTTACAACTACTAGAAAATGTGAAAATGACCAAGCACAGTGGCTCAGTGCCTGTAAACCCAGTGCTTCGGGAGGCTAAGGCAGGAGGATTCCTTGAGGCCAGGAGTTAAAGCCCAGCCTGGGCAAGATAGCAAGACCCCCATCTCCACACAAGAAAAGAAAAAATTAGCCAGGCATGGTGGCACGTGCCTAGAGGCCTAGCTACTCCAGAGGCTGAGGTGGGAAGATCACTTCAGCCCAGAAGCTGGAGGCTGCAGTGAGCTGTGATTGCACCGCTGCTCTCCAGCCTGGGTGGCAGAGCAACAGACTATCTCAAAAAAAAAAAAGGAGTCCTCATTCTGTTTCTGGTTGCTTTGCTGCTGTGGATGATCAGCTTTCTGGCTAGACCATGTGCTCGGTGAAGGTGAGTTGGTCTGGTTGCCATCATCCTTCCCATTATCCATCCCCGTCAACCCTTCCATCATCCTTCCCATCATCTTCCCACGATCCTTCTCCATCATCCCTTCCGTCATCCTTCCCATCATCATCCTCCTCCTGCATCATCCTCCCATCATATTCCCATTATCCTTCTCCATCATCCCTTCTGTCATCCTTCCCATCATCCTTCTCATCCTCCTCCTCCATCATCCTCCCATCATCTTCCCCTTCTCATCCTTCTCCTTCTCCATCATCCCTCCCATCATCCTTCCCATCATCCTTCTTTTCCTCCATCATCCTCCCAGTCATCCTTCTTATCCTCCTCCTCCTCTATCATCCCTCCCATCATCCTTCTCATCATCCTTCCCATCATCCTTCTCATCCTCCTCCTCCATCATCCCTCCCATCATCCTTCCCATCATCTTCCCACGATCCTTCTCCATCATCCCTCCTGTCATCCTTCCCATCATCCTTCTCATCCTCCTCCTCCATCATCCTCCCATCATCTTCCCATTCTCATCCTTCTCCTTCTCCATCATCCCTCCCATCATCCTTCCCATCATCCTTCTTCTCCTCCATCATCCTCCCAGTCATCCTTCTTATCCTCCTCCTCCTCTATCATCCCTCTCATCCTCCTCCTCCATCATCCCTCCCATATCCTTCCCATCATCCCTTCCGTCATCCTTCCCATCATCCTTCTCATCCTCCTCCTCCATCATCCCTCCTGTCATCCTTCCCATCATCCTTCTCATCCTCCTCCTCCTCCATCATCCTCCTGTCATCCTTCTCCATCATTCTTCTCCATCATCCTTCCCATTATCTGTCTCCATCAACCCTTCCATCATCCTTCCCATCATTCTCCCATTATCTTCCCATCATCATCCTGTCATCCTCCCGTCATCCTCCCATTATCCTTCTCCATCATCCTCATGATCCTCCCATCATCCTTCTCAATCATCCTCCCATGATCCTCCCATCATCCATCCCCATCATCCTTCTCAGTCATCCTCCCATCATCCTTCCATCATCCTCCTATGATCCTCCCATCATCCTTCTCAATCATCCTCCCATAATCCTCCCATCATCCAACCCCATCATCCTCAATCATCCTCCCATGATCCTCCCGTCATCCATCCCCATCATCCTTCTCAATCATCCTCCCATCATCCATCCCCATCATCCTTCTCAATCATCCTCCCATCTTCCTTCTCCATCGTCCTTCCTGTCATCCCCATCATCCTTCTTCATCATTCTCCCATCATCCTTCTCCATCATCCTCCCATCATCCATCCCCATCATCCTTCTCAATCATCCTCCCATCATCCTTCCATCATCCTCCCATCATCCATTCCCATCATCCTTCTCAATCATCCTCCCATCATCCTTCCCCATCATCCTCCCATCATCCATCCCCATCATCCTTCTCAATCATCCTCCCATGATCCTCTCATCATCCATCCCCATCAGCCTTCTCAATCATCCTCCCATCATCCTTCCATCATCCTCCCATCATCCTCCCATCATCCTCCCATCATCCATCCCCATCATCCTTCTCAATCATCCTCCCATCATCCTTCCATCATCCTCCCATGATCCTCCCATCATCCATCCCCATCATCCTTCTCAATCATCCTCCCATGATCCTCCCATCATCCATCCCCATCATCCTTCTTCATCATCCTCCCATCATCCTTCTCCATCATCCTTCCTGTCATCCCCATCATCCTTCCCAGCCTGTGACG